GGCTTTCATAATTCATATGTACATTACCTGTGACAAGAACTTGTATAATGTATTACTAAGTATCATGTTTGACCCCGTGACCTTCACCTCGAAGTTTTACCCAATATTTAAAAATTTTAATATTGGTGATAACTTTAAAAATTTTAATATTGGTGATAAGTTTGGAATGAGAGAAGATAGGGTTTTCATAATTGACAAGTGCATTACCCGTGACAAGAAGTTTCCGAATGTATTATGATATTTGACCCCGTGACCTTGACTTTCAATTTTGACTTAATTTTCAAAAATGTTATCATTTCTGCTAACTTTTGAAGGAGAGGAGAGAGGAATTCATATTTGACATGTGCACTACATGTGTCAAAACTTTGCCAAATGTATTATGATTTTTAATCCCTTGACCTTCACCTTGAAGTTTGACCTAATTTTCAAACATTTTAACATTGCTGATCACTTTTGATGAGGGCATTTATATTTGACATGTACATTACTTGTTTGAAGGCCTTTCCAAAACTGTGGTTTTTGATCTCGTGTTCTTGAAAGTTTGACCTAAGCTTTTTTCATTTTATTTTGACATTGGTAATAACTTTTGAATGAAAGAAGAAAGAGCTTTCATATTTTGCATGTACATTACCTATGACAACACCTTTCAGAAAAAAGTATCTCATTTTTGACTTCATGACCTTGACCTACAAGTTTGAAGGACGCACAAACAAGATAGTTACAATATGCCATAAATAATACATCCCAACCACTAAGACACTGAAAGCCGGGACCACATTCTTTGAATTTGCTTGTTATGATTATTCATGGCCTAGCTGTTCTTAAAAAAACCTTCCCTATATATCACAATGCCAAACTTTGATCCCCTTCTGTGGTCCCACTCTACCTCTTTGGTAATGATTTGAGCAAAATTTAATCTGCACATCCCGAGGCATCACGAATCATAACCGAGCCGATCTGGAGGAGAATTTTTATAAAACTTTTCCTAATATATTCGTATGTAAATTTAGTTCCCTTTTGTGCCCTCATGCTACCCCGAGCGGATGGGGGTATAATTTGTACTACATTGACTATGCTAAGCCCAGTCAACATACATATATTGGACCAACGTTGGTAACTAATTGGCATGTTGGTTGTACGTTGATATTGGCATAACATAGATGGGCCAACGTTTGGCCAATGTTTGATAAGGTACACTTATTGGTAATATTGGGATACATTGGCCTCATGTGGTTGGGCTAACGTTGGTCCAGTGTGTCTTATTGTCATATAAGTATAGTAATAAAATTTAATTGGTCCTATGTGGTTGGGACAATGTTGATCCAATGCACAGTATTTTTACATATATGGTGTAATTAAAAAAACAAACAAACAATGTACTTGTGCTTATTGCATTTACGTTGACCATAAGTTGAATAGTTTAAAAGTTTTACAAACAGTTGCTGATTTACAGTAACTGAACCAAAATTGTCCCATTGTTCAGTATTACCACAATAGTTATTGGTTTTATACGGTTGTACCTACGTTGGTCCATTGCTCAGTGTATGATATTGAATAATGATTGGACCAACGTTGGCCCATTGCTCACTAAATGATAATGCAAAAATGTTTGTTCAGTGTTGGTCCAACATATGTGCGTCAGTGGTACCAATACGCTGGTTTACAGTTACTGGGACAAAGTGCTAGCATATTTATATCATTCATTATAGCCTTGATGTTCTTGAGAAGGGGTTTTTTTCCGATGTAAAACTTTGATCCCATATTGTGGTCCCACTCTACCTCTAGAGCCATAATTTGAACTAACCTAAATCCACATTCGATGAGGATGCTTGCATATCACTACGAGAATTGTGGTCCTGTTGTTCTGATTTTCAAAGATATTTCCTTTATATTTCTATATAAAATTTTTACCGCCTATTGTGGCCCCATCCTACCCCAAGAGTCATGATTAAAAACAAATGTTAAATTTACACTATTTAAGGAGGCATTCACTTAAGTTTTGTCTTTTCTGGACAATTGGTTCTTGAGATGCCACCAAATTATCAGTATTTCTTAATCATTTTCCCTTGAAAGAGGGCATAATCCCTCATTCGAACAAATCTGAATCCCCTTCACCCAAGGATGCATGCTTTGTGGCAAGTTTAATTGAGAATTGACCCGTAATTCTGAAGAAGTTGAAAATGTGTTGTAATTTTGCATGTGCGAATCTGGAGCTAGGTGTCTGGACCTCCTGGCAGAGTTATTAAATTTATATAATAAAGGACCAAAAAAATGACCTTATCCCCATCAGGAAATACGCGGGACCCCTCGTGAGCCATGCATGTCAACAAGTGTGTTTGTTTCTCTGTTGAAATATTTCAGATTTTTAATTTAATTTAATTGTAATTTAACTTAATTTAATTTAATTTAATTTAATTTTTATTTAATTTTTATTTTATTCTATTCTATTGATTGACTGATTGATTATGGGGAGTGGGTATTGAATTTTGAAAAAATTATGGATCCGCCAATGTGTTGTCTGTATAGTCAAAAGACGGACATTGAACTCTCACTTAAGGATATATTCTTCTGAGATAAATTGAATTAAACCTTTTTTCTTTGCATTTCAATTTGATGTATTCAATATATGAAACAAAATACGAAAAAGAAAATATGAAATCGTGAGCATATTTTTTGAGATATAATGTATTTTTATTAACTCGAATGAAAAAAATAGTCTATGAAAACTAATGATCTAGATTAAACTTTTCTTCATATTTATTTTTTTTTAAAAAGAAGGCTAATCAATAGTAAAAGAATCAAAATATGGTTATAAAAATAGAGGGTTAGTGGGAAAAATGCGCATTGTTACAACGCGAAATGTAATAACAACGCAAAATGTAATAAACCGGGATTATTGCATTTGGCGTTGATATCAAAACATTTATTACATTTTGCGTCGAGATCAACGCAAAATGTTATAACATGATTTTTGAATTATTACATGTTGTGTTGTTACATTTGCGTCGAGATTAAGCAAAATGCAACAACGCAAAATGTAACAACACACTTTTTGGTCAGTCAGGTTGAGAATAATTTTCATTTGAGTAGTGGATGAAGAAAATAAACGGAAAGAAAATAAAACAAAAAGGAAAAATAAACATATGCTGATTCTTACATTAGATCTGATTTCATTAGCCATTTAAAATCAATTGATATTCAAATCATATGTGTTGCAAATTAGAAACGTGCGTGCGGACGTGTGCGTGTGTGTGTGTGGGGGGGGGGGGGAGTTATGTCGTTGATCAGTAGTTTGCTTTTGCTTTTTGATAGGCACATGCATGAAATTTAGAAAATACGTATATTTATTTTTACTGTCAGGTGTAAATATAGTGGGAAGGGGGTTTCTTGACAATGAGGATTTCATACTGTCCTACAAATCATGTGCATTGCAGACCAGCAAAAATAAAATTCTCTCCCTCTCTCTCTTCAATAATAAAATGGATAGTTTCTGAATGCGCATAAAAATATAATGATCAACATACGAAGTAATCCCTATCCCCGCTTCTCCTCGCCAGACACACACACATGCACTTCTAATTTGCTAACCAATCTACACATGCACGTCGTACATGCATATCAAGAGCTTTTAATGGACCCATGATCAATCTTTGGTAATTAAGAATGTCAGTGATGGATATATAATACAGAATGATTTATGAATAAACATGTCATTCAAAGTTGAGTTAATGTTTTATAACTATTCAATAAAAATGTTAGAGACAGAGTTTTGAAAATATATATACAATAAGATTTAGTAATATCCGTAAAAGCCGTAACGTTTGTCTCATAGCCATAGGTGTGTCTGTCTATTTAGTAAAGCAAGTTTCCCCATTGTCATATGTTTAAATCAATTTTGTGATGTTTCGCGTTGAATACAATACAAAAAAAATTATATTTTGGTTTCTTACATTTTGTTTTATTACATTTTGCGTTGTCTTCAACGCAAAAATTAAGTAACGCAAAATGTAACACCCAAAAAGTGCATTATTACATTTTACGTTAATCCTAACGCAAAATGTAATAATCCAAAAATCGTGTTATTATAATTTGCGTTATTACATTCTGCGTTGACCTCGACGCAAAATGTAATAAATCAAAATGTAATAATCCCACTTTATTACATTTTGCTTTGTTATTACATTTCGCGTTGTAACAGTGCATTTTGATGATAAGAGAAGCTTGGTACATGTAAAAATGACTGACAAATCAGCAGCTTAAATTAATGAGTTAAAACCTATCTTTTCATCATTTATCATTGTTTATATTTATATGAGGAATGATGCATGTATGTTATGAATGGTATTTATATGCTTTTTATGCAATGCTTCATATCTGGCTGAAAATATGCTGTTTTTGAGCTGCTTATTTTCAGATTCATTCATGTTGCCTGAAAGCACATTTTAACTGTGTGCTAAGTGACGCATCATATGGGCCTTTAGAATCCTTCCCCTCTCTCGTCCCTCTCTCGATAAAACTGTTAAGCAGTCTCGTCTCGTATTTTATTTTATTTTTTGGAAGATATTTCATTCTAAGACCATTCCAAGTTTTCTACGTTTAGCCTCCGCTTTAGTTTTTGACACCCAAGATGAGAAAAAACATAAAACCAGAAATCCAGAAATTAATTTTGTGGAAACCTCTGAATTCTGTGGATTTGTTTTCAAGAATCTGTCAAATTAGTAAATACCTAGCATTTACTACCTTCATTTGCAAAGGAATATACCTTTCTTCAAGAAAAATAGAATAATGAAATCAGAAGTATGTCGTTTTTATGACTGTGCTTCATATTTTTGGGGGTGTTTTTTTCTTTGTTTCTTCTTTTTTTTATTTTTTTTTTTCATTTCTTTTTTTATTTTTCGTGTTTGAAATAGCCTAAGGGAGATAACTTTGTCTATCTAATCCGGAAATTGCCGAAGTGAGCAGGTGCGAGACCTTCGGCTGAGATCGCGCGGTCACGAGATTTCGTGACGTCACAGGGATTTTCCCAGCCAGATTTTATATGATGAGTCATCAAGAAGAAATGAACATCAGACCGTATTCACGCTTCCATTAGACCGGGGACTTCTGCCTCTTGTCGGACTGAATTGTCAGGATTTGTAAACGTTTTCAACCAAGTCAAAAGAGGGCACAACTAAACAAGAGAGGCCCAACTTAAATACGCCAATCTTACCAAGATGGCGGCCCCTGATCCAAGTCAAAACCAAGGTAGCGTACGTAAATGCAGAGGAAATTCCGCGAGAGTAGAGCTCTATTTTAAGATTGGTGACTCATGCAACTGTTCATTGACTTAATAACATTGTTCGTCAACCTATTCAAATAAGCCTGTATTTGTAAAGTTATATAAGAAATGGGAAATGATATTTTCTCTCTTGGTCATCTTATTTCCTGGTGGAAGAAAGGGAACATTTGGTGCTATCAGTGAAAACATGATTCCTAACATCTTATCGCTTTCACCTTGACAGAATGGTTGACATGTAAAAATACATGTGTCAAGCTGTTCCAATGAAATTAAATGTGCTTAGACAAATTACAGATTCTGGTCTTTTGAATAAGAGGCATCACTGAGTTACAACATACAAATATTTCAGTTGATAAAGGATTTCACTTTTATTTCAATTTAAGGACATGAATCCAACCTTACAGAGTTGTATCAAAACTACTGCATTATTTACCTACACTTGTTTATAAATATTAGACGCAATTAATGTATGCTGCGTTGACAATAAATTTTAAAGGTTATCAGTTACTCAAATATCCTCATACACTCAAGTATAAATATTGGGTCAGTAGATCACTTGATCTCAGTTTCTTTCTGTTGAAATTATCTTAAAGGCCTAATGAGAAGAAGACTTTATAATTTTCTTTGATGTACTTTGAACAAGAAACTGTAGTCTACAAGAAAATGAACATCATCTGCTATATTATACACTGCATGAAATTTAGGCTGCTTGTAATTATATTCAGCTCTTAAAGTCATTAGTATTTATCAGGTATAGAAAATTACAAAAGACATGGTTGCATATTTTATTCCTAATTTATAACATCCTATATTACAAGTCAGTTTTGTGTTGATTTGCTTTAGATCTATGATTATTTGAGACTTGCTTGGCTTCATTTGATGAAGGGTAGATGGCTCTGCACAGTGTTTAAGTTTTGCTGAGTGTTGTTTTATTTTTGTAGACTTGCCGCCCCCTGTTCCACCACCCCCGGTACCAAGAAATAGAAATATACAAAAACCGTCACTTCCTAGTCGCAGACTTGACACAGAAAATATGGGTAAAGTTAGGGATGCTAGTTGTGTGCACCAAACCCCCCAAAACCCCCTCAGACCATCACGAAAGACTAACAATCTAATTTCTTTTGGCAGTTACTAATTCTTTTCAAAAGAATATAACAAATGACAGCACCAAACTTTTTTTTCTAGATACATAATTATTTATGCCTGCACCGAGTTTAGTTTTGTTTTAATATGCCTATTCAGTTTAACCTATCATAAGTGAATATGTTATTGAAAAGAATAATTGAGTAAGACTTAATGATATACATGTATAGTATTTTCTACCTTTTACCTTTGTAGTATTATTCCAGGTAAAGGCTGAATTCTAATCATAAATAATTTATTTTATAAACAATTTTATTCAAAACATGCAAGCTGGTTTTAATGTCACTTGTACAACACACACATATAAAAAAACACTAACATTCTGTGGTGTCAGGGATTACAAGTAGAGTTATTTATTTTCAGTTTTCTACCTACTTATCAGATGTTAGATGTTAGCAGCTTCTTACTTATATTTGTTACATGTTTTTATTTATTTTTTGGTACACTGAGTTGAAATCTTAAGCTTGTTTATATTTAGGAATAAGTAGAAATGTGTTTTCTGAATATATTTGTTGCATTTTAATCATTGCAGGCTTCTGTTGATTACTGTAAACCAACTTTTATTTGCGTGCTAGAAATATTTGCGAGTTTCACGACCTACTTTAACTCACGAATATTAATCGCCGCGAACCAATTATTTTGCTTTGTATTGGTAGAGAATGTTTCCTCAGTCGTGAAAATTAATTGTTGCGGATTGATTTCAAACTGACGATTCACGAATAAAAGATAACGTGAATAATAGTTGCTTTACAGTATTGGTGTACTTAGAAAAATTAACATTTGTTGTCATTTTGCTAGTGAAATACAAATGTAATCATCATGAAATAAGTTTTCATCAAGTGTCTTAATAAGTACTCTGGTATAGGGTAGAAAAAGTTAAAAACAATGGTACAAATAGTTGTGAAATAAAGTACTGTATATTCATGGAATGTTATGGTTAATTAGTAGATTTGACTTTTCCAGCTGATCTGAGGAGAAGACTAACCATCAATTTCACATCCCCAACTCCCACCCTGGCAACCATGGGATACAAAACACAGATGTAAGGTCGTAGTGATTGTGTTCAGTCGATAAAATGGCTTACCTTAAATAAAATTTCATATTTTTCTGATACATGTATAAGAATCAAGCCAGAAAGATATACTTTTTAAAAGTTTTTTACATGTTTTGTCTGTGAGAAAAAGAAACATGATAGATTTGTTTGTTACAGAGAAAGGATAAAGGGTTTGAAGTCCACAGGAAAACTACAGATAGGGTCAAAGGTCAGAAAGTTGTTGTAATTGCAGTTTAATATCATTAACCAGCTATTATAAATGTATGTATAAATGCAAATTATCTCTTGTGAGTTTAATGACTGTAAACCTATGTATACCTATATTTTCCCATGTATGCAGCTTATGTCCAAGAGTTTCATGTAAACTAAGAAATCATTAATGTTTGTAACTTTGAGTTAACTTTAAAAAAAAAAGGCACTCAATTTGCCTAATGAGTAATGAAATTGCAAAATTTGATTGAAGAAAAAAATCACATGCATGTATATTAATGAAATGACAGAAAGTCAGAGAAAGAAATTCATTTACATTATGTTTACACTGTACCATTTTATGTTTATGTATATTTTCATTTTTGGGCAGTGTTACTTTATTTAAGTGTTTAAAAATCTTATTGCAGACATACGACTTTGTTTCCGATGACTTACAGGAAATAGAGGAGATAGGGAGAGGGAATTATGGGATGGTCACCAAAATGATTCATAAAGAAAGTGGCACTGTGATGGCTGTGAAGGTAATCTTCTGTGAATTAAACGAAACATTGAAAAAATGCTCTAGTTTATTTTTATTTTTTTTATTAGTTTTTTTTTCTCTAGAAACTGCAATTTATATTTATAGTATAACATGTATGTTAAAACAAGGCATGAAAATTCAATTCAAAATTATATTACAAATGTAATAAATATCATATCTTTATTTCAAAACAGAGGATTAGATCCACTGTAGATGAGAAAGAACAGAAGGAATTGCTTATGGATCTGGATGTTGTAATGAGGAGCAATGATTGTCCATACATTGTAGAATTCTATGGTGCACTTTTTAAAGAGGTTATTTTGTTTAAATCACTTTTATTATGCAGCAGTTTTGTGAATAAGTGAAGTTATACACTTGACCTTTGTGTACAGAATTTTAAAAATGTCGGCAAAATGATATATTTCCAGGTATGTTTCAGAAAGTTGTTGTTGATCTTGATTTGCACTCCATATGAACATGTGTCTCCAGTAAAATATATTTTAGGGTTCATATACATGTAAGTCACTTTATTGCACTTTTTTGCTTAATTTTATTTTCTGTTTTTACTTTCAGGGAGACTGTTGGATATGTGTAGAAATGATGGACATTTCTTTAGATAAATTTTATAAATATATTTTTAATGTGTTACAAACTACGATACCAGAGGAAATCTTAGGAAAAATAACTGTAGCAGTGAGTACTCATTTCATAAAAAGTACATTTATGCGCAATTTTGTGAATCACATTTGACTTCATTAATTCACTCTTTCTGTGATGTAGTGTGTTGACATTGTTTTAGATTCTTAAAATATTGTCAAAAATCATGATCATGAATATAATATTAACTAGCTTGATACATGTATATACATGTACTTTAAGATAAAGTAATTGTAAAAAAAGTCATCTCAAATTGTGAACAACTGTATATTGTCCCAAGCCCAATGAAATAGCATACATACATGTATGTGCATGATACTGATAATTACATTTACTATCTACATATACTTTTTTTCAGACTGTCAAAGCTTTAAATTATCTTAAAGAAAATTTAAAAATAATTCATCGAGGTATGTATGAAGTGGCTGACATAGTACAAAAGGTTGTTGATTGTTTTATAACTAAAAAATTCATACATATTATTTTAATTTTATTCAGATGTAAAACCATCAAACATTCTACTAGATCGCAAAGGGAACATAAAACTCTGTGATTTCGGAATAAGTGGCCAGTTAGTGGACTCTATCGCCAAAAGTCGAGATGCAGGATGTCGTCCGTACATGGCAGTAAGTATATTTCTACATAACAATTTTTTTAATTGAAATAAGTTGTAAACTAGGAGATCATTATTATTTCAATTCAGTAAGCCTTTTAAATAATCTTTATCTTTTGTTTGCTGTGTGACAAAGTACATTACATGTGTATGGTAAGGTGTCATTAGGTGTCATTATTATCTCTCAGTATTAATGCATGTTTGTAAGTTAAAGGTAAATGATTTGTAATGTTTTAGCCTGAGAGAATTGATCCCCGAGCCTCTAGCCGTGGTTACGACATCAGGTCAGATGTATGGAGCCTTGGTATTACTCTAGTGAGTTTTTACTGTAAATATTTATGTAATGTTTTAAATTGGGATGCATAGATATATCGACAATTGAAATAATGATGTGTATAGATACTAAGAAATAGAGCTAAACATAGTCTCCCCATCAACACGACTAATAACACTTGCTTTTTGTAGATGGAGTTGGCCACTGGGAAGTTTCCATATCCTAAGTGGAACAGTGTCTTTGACCAGCTAACTCAGGTAGTGCAAGGGCCTGCTCCTCAGCTCAAACCCACAGAGGGGCAATTCTCTGAGGAATTCCTCAACTTCTTAAATACCTGGTAAGTCATTGATATTTGAATTTCGTTCTGCATATGATCTAGTTATAATGCATGAAATATGGCTTCTTGTCTTTTGAAGGACTTATCGCATGATCATTCAAAAATCGTAATTTTATGAAAAATATTATCTATAACCTTATTTATTAAAATACTGAATACAATAAATGTTGCTGAAAGCATATTTTAAGAGATATTTCGAGTTGAAATTCAAATACGGCAATATGCATATTTCATTCGGATTTCAGCGAAATATTGCTCTGACGTCATTGGCGACAATTCGGTGATAGAGAGATGAGAATATGCACACTATTAACGGAGTTTTCAATGACAAATGCAGCTAAATTACGAAAAATGCTGAAAATATTAATCCTTATAAATATGCTTTTCAATTACTATAGAAACATTAATTACTTCTAAGGTATAAGGCTTTTAGGATATTTTTTGTTTTTTATTCAAAACATTTAGAACCTGTAGCTCTAGTTTCGTGGTCGGGAAATTATTTTTCAAGATCACCATCCTTTAAAAAACATATGAAGACTTGCGTAAATTAATATTATATACAAAATGAAGAATAACAAAGTTATATAAGGCCACGCCAATTTGTAAAATAGTTCTTCGGATTTTCAAAAATAAAAAGTGAGGCGAGCGAGCGAAATAATTTTACAAATATTATTTTCGGGTTTCAAAATTATGAGGCAAGCGAATATAATTAATATAGGTGGCAAAATTTTCTAAGTTCTCCTCTTTTTCCTATTATTTTTTCTGAGAGAAAACGTTTTCTATGTACTCATAAGATGTTAAAACGCGTCTTTCTTTTGTTTCTCGTAACATTGCAATTTAGACGTAGTTTCATTTCTATAAATTTTCTGTTTAATTCTTTGCAAATTGTTAAGGTCATGTCAGGTTTCAAAATCACAATTGCATCGCTTCTTGAATTTTCTTTAATTTTTATTGAACAAATACGGTCAATATTTACTTAACCTTGTGTGTATTTTTCATATGTTGATGATATTCTCTTTATTGTTTCATCAAACAAAGCTTCAACATCTCCTATGCTTCCATTTCTATTGCTGTGTATGGAACTACTTTGTACCCATTGTTTTTAACTATAGTATACAGGGGTGTGCAATAAAAAAAATCAAGTAAGTCAATCAAAGTTACTAGCCCCAAGTAAAAAGTTACTAGCCCAAATAGAGGGGCAAAAATTAAAATAAATACTTATTAATGTTGAGAAGAAATTAATTGCTGAAAAAGTCAGGGTACTGAGGTCATTCTTTTTAAAATTAAAGTTAAAAGTTCTCACTATCAATATAAATCATGTATAAATTATTATGAAAGAAAATTAAAATGAATTTAAATAAATTATCTTTCCTTTTTCTGATCATTGCACTAGCTCATTTAGAATGAAATTAAATTCATTTTGTTTTCATCTTAAATCATTGAATACACTAGAAATATATTTTATGTAAGTCACAAAACACTTATTTTTCAGTTGATTGAGTGATCGTAAATAATTTAATGAGATATCTGCATGTATTTACCATAAATGGAGGAATAGAGGAAATTCGGATTAGGAAAAAACGATCGTTTTTGGAAGTAAATAGTCAGATAAAACTGTAAAACAGATAAGATTATGGAGATTTATTGACAGTCAGAGCATGTTGTCTGGAAAATTTTAACTGGTTGGGAATTTTACAGCAAAAAAAATGAGTGAAAATACCGATTGTGCTTGTCATGTATTGCGTGTGTAGTTATTTTTTTCACTAGCCCGACGGGCTTCCTCCTTGCAGAAAACCACTAGCCCGACCCGCCAAAATTGTAACCCCGGGCGTCGGGAGATGCTAAATGCTCACCCTGGTACATACGAACAGTTACACAGGCATCGTGCAAAACTTCACAAACTGTTACAAACATTCTAAATCCCGCGCTTCTGTCAAACAACTTTCCAAGTCTTTTGTGCGTTTTGTGTAAAAAGTCGAAAAAAAAATTGTATACGGATATTTTTGGACGCGCGCGCAGATTTTTTTTTATAATATTATAATTTGGATTTGTTGTAAATAGAAGCGGCGAATCCGACGAACTATATTAGAAATTGGTATGGCCTAATGTTTTTAAATTTGTGAATCAAATAAGTTAATTTAATACATGTGATGACAAATCAAATTGCATTGTTATGGCGAGTTTCTTCGTCTTCGCTGCGTCTCCCTTGCTATCGTCGCTGCTATTTTTACAATGTTAACAGATTTTTCAGATTTTTTTCTTGCCAACAATTCTAACATACAGTATAAGGTTGAATATTCAATTTTACATCGATAAAATAAGTGATTTGGTCGTCTACAATGCAGAAAATTCAGGTTGTATCGCATATTTTTAGTAAGATTAATGAAGAGCTGATCAGCCATTGTCGCCTTTAACGTCACAGGGTCACATGATCGCTATCTAATTAACTTAGGTTTTTAATTCAGAGGTTTTCATTTGAGTCAATAATTAGTTAATTATTGCGATTTATCCACAGTAAAAACACAGAATTTATAAATTGTGGTCATAAGGAACGTAATACGCTTTTAATTTCAAGTAATTTAGAAACATGCGATAAGTACTTTAAAGAATGTTCTAAATCTTTTAAAGAAATTGGTGGCTTAATGAAGAGTTTAATTATGTACCACTTTTACTTTGCATGTGATTTTTTAAAAAATTTTCCAGTTTGACAAAAGATGAAAAGCAAAGGCCAAAATATGCCAAACTCCTAGTGAGTATTTAATATCAGACACCTGATCTGATAGCTCTGTTTTAAGAGGTTTAATAGCAGAAATGAAATGTTTCTCAAATGTTATAAAATTGTTTGTTTGGTTTTTTTTTGGTTATCTCAAATTCTCTTGTTTCTGAGTATTTGGATTTGTACCAACTGTTAGTGTAAATTTCTTGAATGAATTTTATTTTAGGAGCACCCATTTATCAAAAGATACAGTGAATTAGAAGTAGACATTGCAAGTTATGTAGTAAAAATTCTGGATCATGTGCGAGAAACAAACACGAACTTACAGGAGCTGACTTCCTCTAACTCTTGACGAAGCAGGGACGTTGTTAAGGGTTTTCAATTCAGGGACATCTTAACATACAGTACAAACGCTCAATTGATCAAGTCGCCCAAACGTGTCTTGACAAAGGGGAGATTACTCTTGGAATAATGGAAAACGAAGTGACAATAAAGATGTATGTCATCTATGCAGCCAGCTGGTTGGCAATGAGTTCATAATTATATACTACAGATTAAGTGTTTGTCATGAATCTGGCCTACTCAATATTCCTGAATGGATGGATCTTCTCATGTAAACTTTTCTACATTATTAAGTGAACTCATACATAGTTTATTTTTCTATATTTTGTTCTTTTAAGAGATGTCAGCTGATTGTTTAAGTGGTTGTTGATCAATGAGTTGATTTGGAAATTGAAGAATTATGCTGCCACTTCTTTTTTTTTTTTTTTTTTTGTAATTTCTCTAGCTAGTTTACATACATGTAACTTGGTGATAGAGGGCTTTCATTTTTTCTGCTAAGCAGATTTTGTATTTGTTTTTCTTTGTGTCATTTTCCCCACTGATTAGACACAAAAATTGCTTGTTTGTGTGTCTGCCTGTCTAAGTCTTTGGCAGATTCAGTTTCTTAAGTTTATTCCACAACATTATACATTACATAAACTTTCAATCAGGTTTTTGACAAGGGTAAAACTTTTGTACATCAGGGTTTGTAAGATTTAAAGAAACTCGTAGAAAAATCGAGTTCTTGGTTTCTTGATAGCAAAATTTATTTTAAATTTTCATTATAGGACTGTATTTAAAGAACTAAACTTGCAACTGTTACAGATTTTTATGATACAATCTTTCCAAGATATTTTATGGATATATTAATTTAATATTATATATATATGCAATTTTGTCACATATATTTATATAAGGAAGGTTGAAGTCATAAACATTCTAGAGTGCTCCATTGATTTGAGTATAATGAAATTAATTATGAATTTATTTTCTCAACTAGTGCTACATTTACATGTATACTCATTAGTCAGACTGATTTTTTTTTCAATACCTGTATTCTAGAAACTGGATGTATGAGATACATGAATATCGAAGAAAAACTGTTGTATGTAGATACATGTAATATTTGACACTTATGATAAGTACTTTTAATTGTATCAGACTTTGTATTTAAAATTTAACATTCCAGTAGAGAAATTTAGACAATATTCTATTTTTCATCTTAGTTTGACAATTTAGTGTACAGTTTTTGCTCAAAGGACTTGAGAAATATTCATCCATCTTGTTTCACAATGCTACATTTCAGTACTTTGATCATTTAATAGCAAAAGGAAAAAAAAATGTAAGGGTCTGAAAAGGTTCCAGCATCAACACTTAGAAAATACTCTAGGGGAAAAAAAGAACTCTAGGGGAAAAAATAGAATTTTTCGCTTTTAAAAATATATTGTTAATGTGTCCACTGATTTTTCAAACTTGTAACCTGTGTTGACAGCTTCTTTGCTTTACTGCTTTCTTTTATCCTTCACCAGCCATTGTCTCATTTTGGTGTGCCATACTTGTCTTTATGATTTCATTCAAGTAAATATATTTTGGAGTGTTGAAGAAAAATCAATAAATTTGCAGAAAATGATCATTGATTAAATTCACTAAGAGCCATTCCATGAAACAATATCATTTTCAGTCACAAAGGATGAGATGCACTTAAGTTAAAAGTTTGTGATTTTCTTTTCTCATTCCAGTATTGAAAAGACTGAATTTTAAATGGATGCTTTGTTTTGATAGTACAATATGTATCAGTTAATGTGCAAATTATGGAGAGAAATGTATGCTGCTGAAATTTTTAAAAGAATGAATATTTATTCTTTAAAGCAGGAAAACTCTTTTTTTTCATACTGTTCACTAATGCTTAATATATGGTACTTGTAGTACATTATGCACACAAATTTTATTCCTGTCTGGTTCAAAGTGAAAACATCCTTTTATAAGATGTTGATTTAGTTCTTGTTAATAATTTTAAAAATCATTCTCTATTCTCACCTTGAAAATTTCTTGGACATTAATATGTATTTCCAAATTTAGAGATATTTTTATGTGTTAAATACATGTATTATAGTTTAGAAACATGAAACTGTCAATTTATAATATACCAAAATCAAAAAAAAAAAATCTATTTATGGTATACTTCTTTGAATAATGTGTTCACTGATTGGGAAAGGTGAAGTTTTAAACACTGCTTTAAAACAAACAAACAACATTTTAATACAGTATTTATTTTCAGACTACATAAACACTAACTGTATTTCTTATATTTTACTTTTATTTTATTGTTTCACATAAAAGTGTAAATCAGAAGACAATGTCATTGTTATTATTTGGCAATTAAAGCTTTTATCATTTGGGGGGGGGGGGGGATATTACAGAATGAGTTGAACGTATATCTGTGCAGTGTTTTTACAAACACAGACTGAATATGTGTTGTTGCATTAATTTTGTGTTTTCTTCTGTATGTAATTCACCATGAAAGCGTTATGACAGAGTAACAGGTTTATGACAATATTACTGCAAATACAAAATATTTAAAAATTTCAAATGTATTTCATTTTATTCTTTTCAAAAGTAATCTTGTTCTGAAAGACAGTGAAGATGATCTCATTTGTGTATACATTAATATCACATTGTTCATGAAGAAAATGCTTAAAAGTGTAGTGGCAAGTCATGCAGATAGAACGTAAATGGAATCCATGGCAGAGAGACGGTCCTGTCGATGCAAGTTGATTTAAAGCTTTCAGCAGCAGTTCGAAATCCTTGTATGGGACAAAACTAAAGAATGCAAAGATTGTGAATACTGGTCACAGTTATTGATGATACTTATTATGTGATGACATTAGACTTCATTGTTATCTTTATCCAAGGTCCTTTGAATGACCTGCAGTACATTAAGTTTTATCTGGCCCACTTTGTAATGCAGGGAGTATTCACAGGCATATGGCAAATGAATCAAGGTGTTGAAATATTTAGAACTGCAAAGTGTACCCAATTTCCATCCATTGTTCACCTGTATCCTTTGCACAAAGACATTTGATATTTACCATGTACAGCATTTTTCTTTCTCTGCCTTTTTTTTTAACCTCCCCTAAAAAAACCAAAGGTACACTGGTTTCCACTAAAGAGGAGGTGACTCCTATTGATTTTTAGGTCACAGGTTAAAGGTCAAGGTTCAAACTACTCAAGACATAGAAAGATATCCTCTGGTCAATATCTTCAGGACCCTTTGCTTGACCGACATCAAACTGGCACATTTGTTCCTTTAAGAAGTAGAAGGTCCCTCTTACTTTTGTGGTCATGTAGTTAAAGGTCAAGGGTTAAACTGAACAAATTAAGATACTGACTGGTCAATATTTTTAGAACCCTTTGCTTGACAGATATCAAACTTGGTACACTGGTTTCCCTTAAGTAGTATATGACACCTTTTGGTTTTGAGTTACAAGGAAAAAGGTCAAGGTAAAACTAGACATAGAAAGATATTGTTGAACACTATCTTCTCTCATTCAAAAGTTATCAACAATATTAAAATTTTTGAAAATTAGGTCAAATGTCAAGGTCAAAGGGTCAAAAGTCATAACATGTTCAGAAACATCTTGTCACAGGTAATGCACACTTTAAATATGAACATTCTGTCTTCTCTTATTCAAAAGTTATATCCAATATCAAAATGAAAAGTAGGTCAAACTTCAAGGTCACAGGGTAAAACAAGAGGCCCATGGGCCTTGAATCGCTCTTCTGATAAACTGTACAACCTATCACTTCTATTTGAAGCCTCGAGGTATCCTGTATATTTAGATAAACCCTTGAAATTCCAATTCACACTCTGAGAACCCAAGATGATTCTAAGCCAATTAGTACCTGAGAGTTGGTCATGGTGACCTACTTATCACTTGTCATTCTCTGAGGACCCAACAACTAAGTTTGATGATTCTAAGCCAATTAATACCTAAAATATTTTTTAAAATTATAACCATAAAATTTTATAAGTAGGTCAAAGTGACCTACTTTTCAATTGTTTTACTCCAAGGACCCAAGATGCATCAACTGACAAAGTTTGATGATTCTAAGCTAATTAGTACCTGTAATATTTAATTAAAGCCATAAATTTTCAAAAGTAGGTCACCATGACCTACTTTTCAGTTGCTGTACTCCGAGAACCAAAGATACATCAACTGACAAAGTTTGATGATTCTAGCCAATAAGTACCCAAAATATTTAATTACAGCCATAATTTTTCAAAAGTAGGTCACGGTGACCTACTTTTCAGTCAACCTACTCCGAGGACCAAAGATGCATCAACTGACAAATTTTGACGATTCTAAGCCAAATAATTCCTGAAAATATTAAATACAGCCATAAAATTAAAAAGTAGGTCACCGTGACCTACTTTTCAGTTGTTGTACTCCGAGGACCCAAGACGCATCAACTGACAAAGTTTAATGATTCTAAGGCAATTAGTACCCAAAATATTTGATTAAAGCCAAAAATTTTCAAAAGTAGGTCACCGTGACCTACTTTTCAGTTGTTGTACTCCGAGGACCCATGACGCATAAACTGACAAAGTTTTATGATTCTAAGCCAATTAGTACCCGAAAATATTTTATTAAAGCCATAAATTTTCTGAAAGTAGGTCATGGTGACCTACTTTTTAGTCAACCTACTCCGAAGACCCATGACGCATCAACTGACAAAGATTGATGATTCTAAGCCAATTAGTACCCGAAATATTTAATTAAAGCCATAAATTTTCAAAAGTAGGTCACGGTGACCTACTTTTTAGTCGACCTACTCTGAAGACCCAAGATGCATCAACTGACAAAGTTTGATGATTCTAAGCCAATTAGTACCCGAAATATTTAATTAACGCCATAAATTTCCAAAAGTAGGTCACTGTGACCTACTTTTTAGTTGACCTACTCCGAAGACCCAAGATGCATCAACTGACAAAGTTTGATGATTCTAAGCCAATTAGTACCTGAAATATTTAATTATAGTCATATTAATTGAAAAGTAGGTCACGGTGACCTACTTTTCAGTTGACCTTTTTTGAGGACCCAAGATGCATCAACTTACAAAGTTCTATGATCATAGGACTTAAAATGTCCAAATTATGCCTCTAAAACGCTTTGAAATCGAATGCCTGCAAAGTTCAAAAAGTAGGTCACTGTGACCTACTTTTTAATAAATGTGTTTTATGACCCCAAGATGCATTATCTTACAAGATTTAATGATTCTAAGCCTCCCCGTATTCAAATTAATGACCTTAATTGTTTTAAAAAAGATTAGCCATAAAATTCAAAAAGTAGGTCAAGGTGACCTACTTTTTAGTTGACGTACTTTGAGGACCCAAGATGCATCAACTGACAAAGTTTGATGATCATAGGCCTTAAATTGTTCAAAATATGCCTCTAAATCATTTTGAAAAAGAATGGCCGCAAAATTTAAAAAGTAGGTCACCGTGACCTACTTTTGAGTCAACATGATATGAGGTCCTTAGATGCACCAACTGACAAGATTTGATGATCCTAGTCCTTATAGTAAGCAAAATATCAACATTTTAATAAAAAGTTATTTTTGGTCAACTTTGAAGTGACCTTGAGACCACACCCTTTGCCCCACGGTAAATCCCCGTGCAAATTTTAATCTACAACATATCCTCATCCTTTTGTGTAAGTTTGGTGATAATCTGCCCAGTGGTTCTTGAGAAGAAGATTTTTTAGCAACCAGTACTTTTGTTTCTATTTTCCTAATTATCTCCCCTTGTTAAAGGGTCACAACCCCAGTTTCAGTATAAAAGGGAGCCCTTGGGCCAAGGATACCCTGTGACAAATTTGACAATAATTGGCCAAGGGGTTCTTGAGTTATGGCCCATATTCTAAAAAGTTTATGCACACCGCACAAATGGCCATAGCATTAGCTCTTTGAGCCTTTGGCTCAGAAGAGCTAAAAATCGTAGTATAATTGGAAAGGTCTTGTCACAGTTAATGTACAAGTGAAATATGAAAGCTCTTTCCCTTCTCATTCAAAAGATATGACCAAGGTAAAATTAATATTAAATTTTTTGAAAGTAAATCAAACTTCAAGGTAAAGGGGTCAAAAATCATAGTATATTTGGCAAGGTCTTGTCACAGGTAATGAACATGTGAAATATCTAAGCCCTTTCTTTTCTCATTCAAAAATTATGACCAAGGCTAAATCTTTTGTGACAGACAGACTAACAGAGACAGACTGACAGATGAATGAGACTTGATGTCCCCTCAATTTCGCAAAAGTGGGAACAAAAAAAAAAAACGAAAATACACAAATTTAAAAAATAAAAAACTGAAAATAATGAATTTACATGTTTTTATTTTTATCACCATTGGTATAAACTGTCAGATACAAAAAATTGTATACTTAACTTATAATGTAGGAAACTAGACAAATATGTCGTGATAATTGGAAAAAAAAAATCACCAAGAATAATGATTTTTTTTCATTTTTTTTTTTCTTAATAAGGAAAAGTAGAAAAATTGCACCAAATGTTACATAAATTCACTACTTTTGATGTTTTCTTTGTATGAATATATAATGAAAAAGTACAAAATCTGGTTTTAGCACCAACACAACAACTGGTATTTACACACTGAATACATCATTTAAATTAATTCAAATAAATATAGAAAACACAACCAGCATCGTCTCAAAGTCCTCCTTGTTTTACTAAGTATATACCACATTTCTACAAATCTACATGTACCTCTACATTTTCACTCTTTGTGAAAAAAAAACATGTACACAACAATGTGCAGTGTATCTGATAATTTTCACTCCTGGGAACAGTGAAAACATCTTGTATTTTCTAAAAATGACAGCACCCAACATAGCTTTCATAAACATTTATTTTTGTGGTAAACCACAATAAATTTTAGAAAAAAAGTCTCCCATTTTTTGTCCTTTTTAAATATGCAAGCAAAATTCTGTTTCTTCAATACAGAGGCCTTTCTTCGCCTTGAAAATAGTACAAACCTTTTTGTTGAATTGGAGGCATTTCTTTAACCTCCCAAAATGTACATTCACATATACAATGCTGTACAATGTTCTGAATTTATGATTTTATATTAGAAATACTGGTACAACTACTAGGTACTACAGACATATATATGAGAGAGAGAAGTACTGAACAAATAAAAGATACATCAAAAGCAACTTTTTCTTTCCCAACAATTATAAACTATTTAATTCACTCCAGGTGACTTTGTGGTTGCCAAAGTGCCCAGTCATCTACAAGCACAAACTCAACAAAACATGAAAAGGAAGTCTCGAGATCACAACAATAATACTTCACAGTGGACAAAAATTCTCAAACACGAAACACAGTCCTCACAAACATTTATACCTATAACTCTATCACGGATACTGACTAGCACTTTTTTACAAGGGATTCTCATTCATTTTAACATGCAAGTTCCAAGCTTTCTAAACAAACAAACAAAATTATTTTTTTCAGTCTTAAGTAAGAAAAAATAAATCCTAACATTCAAAGCATCTAGTATATGTAATAGTTTAACAAAGCAGCCATACATGTATATTTGACACCACAATACAAAGCAAACAAAGGAAGAAGTTTTGTTTTCAGGAGCCTTAAAATGTTTATCACAGGTCTAGGAATGTTAAACACCCTTAAATAACCTTTAAATTAATGATTACGTGTAATATTATGATAATAATTAAAAAAGAAAACCAATGATCATACTATGTAGCAAATATCTGACAGAATATTCAACATTAACTATCCAGTAATGCCACTGAAAATCAGTATTCAAAAATACAACATCTTAAGCTTCTGTGTCGAGTTATTAAAGAGATGCTCTGAAAACCAATGCAGATCAATATGGAAGAAGTATGCAACGGCCTGCAGCCACTTAACTGTCGCTAGCTGATGCAACAACTCTGTCTACAATGTGCAGGTGAGGTATCCGTTGGGTTGAGATATTTAATTTTTCGGTGAACAAAACTCTGCATTCGAACTCGGGTTTTATTTGTCAATGCATAAGATTTAAGGTGAGAGGTCAATGACTGAGGTAAAGGCAGTCTGTCTATTCCGTATATTGTTGTGTTAGCTACTATACATCTGCACGCTATCTCCTTCAATGTCAGGACTGAAAATAATTAAAAAATAGACAAACATTACTCATGAAATACAGAAAAATACTAATTATGTCTGACTGTCAAAATACAGTGGACGTCTTACAACATTAACATAATACAAGTACGCTGTAAATGGTACCTGACATTTGAACTTGTGTACAGCATGCATGATTGAGCATAAGTATCAATATCCGGTACCCATTCACATAATCACATACTAGTTAGTATTCATGTACTTGTACTAAGTCAAATTTGTTGGACCAGTTTTTGTGGTTTTCAAAATCTTACCTACTTCCTGGGAAAGTGATTTCTTGGTTAGATTTCCATTTTAATTAGAAAATTAGCTTTGTATGAAGTATATATATTTTTTTATTGTGGTTACTTATTTGTTGAGAGAAAAGAACCACAAATCTGCAATCGCTAAGATGTAAGAAAAACAAGAAATTGCTCTCTAGACTAAGGCTAGATTTACAAAGTATTTTTAATTTGAAATCTTGACTGTTGTGATAAGTATTAAATTACCTGTTCATTAAACAAAAAAATACACACATGAGGCAGGGCAAATCCTTTATAAATTCAAATGTAAAAATCCACATACAACTTGATATACAGAAAACGCTGCACCTAATTTTGCATGTCCTAAAGAATGTGTAAATTCAAGAGAAGAAATAAGGAAAATGTTTTATACTTAACAAGGAAAAGTTTCAAGATTAAAGACAAGACCACAGTTATATCATTTGTGGTATTTCAGACATCTCATTCTTACTCAAGTTTCAAGTTAAATATGTTTTTATGAAAACAAGTCACCCACAACAGAATCCGAGATGTTTTATTCCTAGGTCAAAAGTTCAAGGCCAAATCCAATGGTGATACATGAATTTCAAAACCTTATTCTGATTTACTCATTGATCTGTAAAGTTGAAGATTATACAAGAAAAGATTATACCGTCATCATGACAATAAATGTATACTGTATTTAAACAGAATTTTGAAGACTGACAAATGGACATTATCAATCCATACCTGCAACTGCTTCATCATCAATCTAATTTGTATCGTACTGTATGTACATATAATCTTTACAACAGGTTTTAAACCTTTCAAGAACGGAGTGTTCATTTGGCCTCTCTATTTCCATTTTTAATTAGATCTTTCTTATAAGATGTACCTTTATCAGTGCCCCATGTCCTTCTCATTCCATTACGTTTTAATGCCACTCTGGATAGTTCTGCAAAAGATTCCGTCACATTGAAGTCACACAGAGGACTGACTTCAAAGAAGGCCATGTCATTCTTCAGAGCATACGACTCAGCCATCTGCTCACTGACTTGCCGCTTGTATGCCATATGAAGACGATTTCCCACCAAAATTTTTGGAACACCTGGTGCATGCTATAAAATTGATAAAATTACAATACAGTGAAACTTGTTTTATCCGGACACCACTGGTTCCATAGAAATTGGCCGGATTAAACAACATTCTGGATTAGGCAACATTTTAATCATTTGAAATTACTGAAGGGGACTTAAAGTTATGTCATATAAGCAAGATTTGGAATATATAATATCTGGATAAGACAAGTTTTACTGTATATATTACATTAACAGTGGTAGAATTCTTGTCTATATTTCACAAATTTTTATCCTATAAAACTTTACATATTTGCTCAGTATAACACCCCCCCCCCCCCAAAAAAAAAGAAATAAAAGGTAATAATTTATATGAAACTGTAATGCATTCTATAACTAATGTATACATTTCAGTTTGAGGAAAAGAATTAAAAAGAAATATTTCTAAACTGTTGTTGCATACTTTACCAACTCTTGCTTGTTACCTCATCAATTTCTTTGATCCATCTGGCTATTCCATCAAAGGACCATTTATTTGTAATGTCATATACTAGAAGAATGCCCTATTAAAACATAAAAAAGACACACTCTAGAAAGCTGGCAAAGTAATAACTTAGCTTTTTAATATTAATACATGTATTATTTTTAACCAACACTTGTCCATACAACAACAAATATTTCCTATTAGCTGTACTTTGAACTGTATGATAATAATTTTTTTTATCATGATATGACTATGTTGACCTGTATTAAATCAATCATTAAAATAGACAAATTACATCACATGTTTATTACAAATTAAAATGTACATGTATTAGTATGAGGTTACCTGAGCTCCCCTTGAATAGGACCTAAATATAGTACAAAATCGTCCCTGTCCTGACGTATCCCTGAAATACATATATCTGATATAGTTTAAACTTATCCTCATTGAATAACTCCTTTCTACATTGTTCCTACATAATGTGATTAGAACAAAATTACAAGCAAAATAACCAGTTTTGAATAATATGCAAAACCCATATTCTGAATTGTGCAACTAGTCAAAATGAAATGTTAAAACACAAGAAGTTACACAACATTGCATAATTGTTACTTTTTGTATGTTTTCTTCAAAAATATATCATACCATAACTGTAGTTTCACCCTTTTCCCATCTAGCAAAATGGTAGTTGTTTTGTAGTCAATGCCTTTAAAGGAAGAGAGAAAAATCAAATTCATACATTCAACAAGTAAATCAACATCAATTATAATATGAACATTTGATATAATAACTTAAACTACAAGAGGTCCACAGGCCACAATGCTCTGAGTCACAATGGCCCAGCTTTTCTTCATTTGCAGATTTTTTAAAAAAAAATATCCCCTCTTTTAATAATTTCATAAAAAAATATTGACTCAATATTGTGGACCAGAACTTATTCCAAAGGGGACTTTGATTTTTCAAAATTGAATCCACACAGTCAATATTGGGATGTATTAATATGATTAACATGGCCCTCTTGTTCTAGAAAGGTCCCCCCTCCCACCCCCTACATTGGAATTATGTAGAATTTGGATCTCTGATATTTTGCCAACTCTAACCCCAGGGTTTGTAAATTTAAAAAAAAAACAAAAAAAAAACAAAAAACAAAAAACAACTTTGAAATGTTTTGCTTATTGATATGATTTAGTTCAGCCTTGTCATTCTTGCTAAAAATTTCTTCCTACATACACCCTTGTAAAATTCCCATCCCCCTACAGGGGCCATGATCTGAAAAAAACTTGAAGCAAAACTATCTAAGGATGCTTACATACCAATATGAGTAATAATGACTTTGTTGTTTATAAGTGAGAGACCTGTTCCTATATATTCCTAAGTAAAATGTTGATATCCTGTGGCCCCATCATACCCTCGGGGATCATAATGTGAACAACTTAAATCTACACTACCTGAAGACGCTTTCATATTATAATGACTATAAGTCTAATCTTGGCTTTGCTGTTCTTGATTAGAAAATTTTTAAAAAAATTTTCCCCTTTATATATTCCCATATAAAAAAATTATCCCCTAATGTGGCTCCACCCTATCCCTATGGGCCAAGATTTGAACAATCTTGAATCTACACTACCTAAGGATGCTTCCATATTAATATGACTAATCATGGATTGGCTGTCCTTGAGAAGATTTTCAAGTATTTTTTTTCATTCCTATGTAAAACTTTGATCTCCAAATCTGGCACCCACCCTACCCCCATGATTTGAAACAAATTTGAATCTACACTACGTTAGGAAGCTTACACATGGTTTCATCTTTTCTGGCCCCATGGTTCTTGAGAATAAGATTTTTAAAAGATGCTATTAAATATTCACTAATCCTTCATTATCTCCCCTTAAAAAAGGGCACTATGGCAAGTTTGGTTGATTTTGAGAAAAAGTTGGAAAATATGGAAAACAGTAGACAGACAGATGGATGCTGGACAAGATGTAATCAGAAAAGGACTTGAGCTTTCAGCTCAGGTGAGCTAAAAAGTAAAAAAATTACCTCCACTTAATTTTCATTTGAAGTTCATTTTTCTGATGCTACATTTTTTAACATATAAGCACTGTTAATTAAAATGATTTTTTAAGTTAATGTAATTGGGAATTACGCATTTGTTTTAATTCCAACAGCACGCTCAAATGATTTTTTGTGCTTGAAAAGAGACATATGAGTTTTCCACAAAATATATATCTCTGATTTACACATACACCTATATAAATTCAGCAGAACCTCAGTATCTTGAACGAGGATATCTCGAATACCATTAACATGTTGAAGTGATTTGGAAGTACCAACCACTATTTTCTTATTGTATTTTACCCTCAGTATCTTGAACCCTCTGCTATCTCGAAGTTTTTTCTCGGTTCCATCGAGTTCGAGATAACAAGGTTTGAGAGTAGTATATTCTAAACTGCAATAAATTGTTTTTAAGTTTGAGAAAGTAAGATCTTGAATGAGCTTTTCATCACTCTGCATAAGTTTGATTTTGTAGAACACTTGATTTTTGCACTATATCTATAATGAACACCTAAAGACTAAAACATAAAACATCAAAAATATATTCATGAACATGAATAAGATCTCAATTTTATCATAATGATATATTAAAATAAACTATTAATAATTATCTCAAGCACAACATATGTAACAATTGGCAAGGGAAGTTCACAGGAAGAAATAATCAATAATGTTTCAGGGCCTTTTTCTAGTACATGTATTTCACGCTGATCTGAGAAACCTTAAAACTATCACACAATGGCATACTAAATACCAAGATATTCCTATCTTGAACCAAGGGTCTGGGGTTTTGCAATCAATATATGAAAGACTGACAGATTTGATAATAACTGATTTTAAGACTGCATCTCTTCTGAGTTCAAAAGATCTAAGATTTGAATTACTGTATGGTTAATAGTTACATGTATTAAATTAATAAGAAAAATAAATGGAAGAAATGTTCCTCTAAACAAGTAACAGTAAAACAAATATATACAAAATATCTCCAGCATGGGAAAATTTGGATTATTCCGTAAATAGTGATCTCTGAATATGATCTTGAACTGATGAACATGATGAAATATTATTTTCTTTTGATAAAAAAGAGAATCAGAAAAGCTTTCATCAAGTTGATGAAGGCTTACGTCAATTCATAGACATCTCAAAAGAGAATGGGTAAAGTATAGGTACTTCATCTTAACAAGAACTGAACATGGATGGGTACGTACTAAGACTTATTAAAAAAGAAATCAGTCAAAAAATTGAAACCATATTATAAATCTTTCATGATTTTGTTATCCTTACAGTATTCCCATGTATAACAATTTTCTAAGTGACACACAAAAAGCAAAATGCACACAAGTACATTCTACATGCCGTACAACACGCTTTAGTTTCAAATTAACATAATAACAGGACATGATTCTGAGATCTGTGTTCATGTAAACGGCACATAGAACCGGATAACACGGTTAATCAAGTTAATGTTGAAAGGATGCATGCATTGGTCCTGCACATGCATATATGCAGTGATGCAGGCAGACTACTTATATTAGTTTAAACCATTACCGTCAGTACTGGGGTATGGGGATTCTGTAGCCCCATCCTCCATCCCACTCAACAGCTCTTCTTTTCCAACATCACTGTCCCCTACCAGCAGAAACTTAAGCAAGTAGTCATAAGGCTTTAGGGATCCGAGGCCGTTTTGCAAAGAGCACATTATCACAACATTGTTTTCTAGTTCTACAACTTTTACGGCTAACTAAGCGAAATTCCAAGTCTACATTGTAAGAGTCTGCAAATATATGTATCGTCTTGAGCTATATACTGCAAATTTATCACATATGTGGTGAAAATTACGTTAATAACATGTAAACATAGATCACATCAATATTTTGCGCAGACCGGAAGTCTCAGTGCGCCTGTGCTCGAAGTGAAAGGAAGTTGGCGGGCTTTTTGACTACTTTCACTTTGATCAAATTAGATGTGTGAAGAAAATTCTTTTCATAGCAGCCATGGAAGAAGACCAAGAAAACGTAAATTGATCAAATTATATATTTCTGTTTTAAATACAAGTCTTAAAGTTATAAATAATTGATAACAATATTTTTTAGTAAACATCTTTATGAAAAAAATTAAAATTTTAGGCATGCAGTGATGTCTGACAGATTAGTTAGATATGAGAGTTGGGTTGTGACTATATTAGACATTGTATTTGATGGTACTCTTTACTGTTTGTTTGAATTTGTGCAAGTCAATTCATGCAGTTAGATCGATCCTACTCCACAATGGTGTGTGCATTAATAAATATAAATATATTTTTAGCTTGTATAGAACTATATCTAGTGCATTGAATTTGCACTATTCTAACTATATGTCCCTGTATCAGCTATTGGAGGAAATGAATAAAGATTTAGTATTGCCAGGACTTAGTATTGCCCCTAGCCTTCCTCTGTCTTTTTTTCTCTTTTGTTTCAATCCCTTGTCACCCTCAACCTTCATTTATGTGCATTCTTCCCACTCCTGTGTCCTTTTCTTAGTATCACAATCATGCACATCAAGTTTTTTATATCATGTTGCAATTTAATAAATTTATGCACATTTTATCATTATCAGATTATTCTAATAAAACAGAGATCTGTAATAAATATTATCTGCATTAACATTTATTTAGTATTCAGTACCTGGCCATATAAGTGAGTTGTGATATAAATAAAAAATTTTTTTTTTTTTTTTTTGTTTGTTTTTTTTTAAATTATTACAATGTTATTTATGGTTCAATCTCTATGAATAATAGCATCATAAAGTACAGAGCATCATAAAGTACAGAATTTCTTACAGTTTTCTTACATATAGTTTCTAAATTATTTCATCTGTCAACATCTCAAATGTGAAATTCTCAAAATAAATGCGAAATTGAATTGTTACAACTAAAAATTGTTAAAGAATCATTGTTTTGCAATTTTGCCTTGATAATTTCATTAAGTTTTTCTCAATGATTAGTGTATCATTTTGCATAGCAGCTTAAGACAAGAAAATTTAAACATTTCTGCATAATTAAGTGAAAAAAAATCATGGGAAATTCAACTAAAATTGAACTCATAATAGTGAAGTGCCAGGAATGAAAAATTTTCGTTCGTTATGAACTTAATTTGGGGGAGCAGGTCATGTTACCAGCAAGACTTCTTGTTTGGGATATTTGTGAATGTCTTAAAGATCTTTCATCTATTAAATGGTATCATATTTTGTCATTTCATGAGAAATTTTCCTTTCCATTTGAATTTTAGATGCTCAAAAAGCTTGAACAGATGAAAAAAGAATATGCCAGAAAACAAAGGAAACTTGAGGTGAGTAATGTTGAATACAAATTCCTCATGTCAGATCTGTCATTTTGAAAAATATATACCCAATATGTATGCTGTAAAATTAGTTTTCCAATGACTTCTTTCTATACTAAACAATTTGTTGAGTCTGTATACCCTATAACTGTGCTGTAAAATTAGTTTTCCAATGACTTCTTTCTATACTAAACTGTTGAGTCTACAGGTGAACTTCCATGATGAACTCATAAGTATGGGAGCATTTATTTACTTTAAAAAAAAATAATTTTTCAGAAATCTGTTCGAAAGTCTAAAGCCAAGGCACATGTTAAACAGATATTACAAAAGCAAGAGATTCTACGTAGCAAAGAGACGGAACAGGAAGATTTCAAAAATCAAATGAAGGAGCCGGACAGGATCACTACCCCTAACGATCAGGACAATACCTCAAAGACAAAAAATAACCCAAGAACAGACATAGAATCACCAAAGGTCATTGCTAGTGATAAAAACCTAGCTCTCAAAACACCAGTTTTATCAGAAAATTCAGACAAAGGTGATTTTATGATATGTGATAGCAAGACTTTGAAAAGAAGTGAGGAAGATGATATCATCGTTGGACCCCGCGGAGACTCAGAACAAAGTGCTTCCTCACGAAATTTTCCATCATCTTCAGAATCAACAGGAAATGGCAAGAAAACTTTGTCTCTTAAAGCCAGGCGAAGAAAAACTTTGAGTCCGAACACTTTTTCAAGCAACAGAAGTAAGGTACAAGTGGAAGAGATACCTTGTTCAGAAGGAATCATCAAGTCCATTCATATTCCTGATGATGAAGATGTGGTTGAAAATAATGATACCAGGGACAAACATATGAACAGTTTGGAAATAAAGCAGCTTTCAAACGAGACCAAATTAACAGAAAAGCTCAAACCATCTGAGAGTGAATCATCTATAGACTTATTCCCCTCATCCTTTGAAGGCTGTGAAAAAATCAAAACCAGAAGAAAAAGAGGAAGACCTGCTAAATGTCGAAGAGCTTCACTTCCTGCCCAGACCAAGACATCTCTACTTCCTGCCAATGCCAGGAATTCATCTGAGTCACAGGACAGTCAGGAATTAGAAACACTAATGTTGGTTCAGGAGAGTTTAGGACTGTGTAGTCCAATAGAGAAGAGGAAGACCAGACGTTCTCGTTCCTGTCAACCCATTCTTCTGTCTTCTGTTTTCCAGTTCATTATTGATGATGCCAAGAGAGATCAAGAAGAGAAGGATTTTGTATTGCCAACACACACATTTGGAGATCTTATGGAGACAAAAGATTTGCATAAATTCAATGATGGAGCAGAATCTTATGTTGATGATCAGGAGAATAAAATGATTAAAATCATAAACCAAGACAAAGAAATTTCCATGAAAGAGGAAATGCTGGATGATACAGAACAAACACCTTCTTCAGTTTTCCTAGACTCCAAGCAAACTGTGTTTGAACATTGTGAAAAACCACAAAAAGGAGAGTTTATGTCACATCCGGTTGAACAACAAGGTGTTAAAGTTCTTAGTGAGTCAACTTCATTAGGTAAACGTTTTGAAGAATCAAAGTCTTCTCCGAAGAGCAGAAAGAGTTTGGTAAAGGGACATCATTCAAACTTGAATGGCATTGCAGAGTTAGTTTCAAAGGATTCTGAAAAAGAAAATGCTTTGAAGGAGTCTCATATGAATTTAGAAATACATGCAGAGCTCAGTGTTAAAGAAAATGATGGAAGTACAGAAACGGATTCCTCAAAGATTTATGATGAACCAATTTGTTCAGAACCCCAAGGATCAGAAAAGACTGCAGCGTCACAAGAGGGTAAAGAAAATGGCCAGACAGAAGAGGACCTGAATAGCAGTCTGGGATCTGACCAACAAACAGAGAGTGATGATGAAAACTTTGGAGACATTCTCAGAGAAAAAATGGCTATACAGGTACACAGATTTAATTGTAAATCTACACTGTCTTTTTGCTCTTCTTTTTCATCTGATTATTAGATAGAACCAGGTACTAGAACAATGTAGTGGGTGTAAACAGGGGATTTTCTTAATTCTTCTGTATGTACAGCTTTGAATTTGCTCAACATTATTTTGACATTTTCTGGACTTTTTTTTTCTTCACCATTTTTAGCCATATTTTAACGCCTTTCACGCTGTTTCTTTTCTGCTAATTTATGGACACTTTAATATATGATTAGAACTAATACAGGTTGTTTTCAAGATTTAAGTGCACTAATTTATGATTGGGCAAATCAGTTCAAGAGGAGGATTGCATCATATTTAGTGTGGTTATTTATGTATGTTTACAGTATTTCTCTTCCTGATCATATGGATTATTATTCATTGATTTATATATACAAAACTGTTATGTATGTTATTTTTCCATTTTTCATCTTGCCCCAAAAATAGTATGAAAGCTTAAATCTACTTGAAAGAGATAAGGGCCTGTTTGATTGAAAAAGATGCCTTTTCTTTTCAGTTTCCCACAGATGACCCAGTGATGCAAACTCATATTACAGTTTTTCCTTTAAACAAGAAGAAGACGGAGGTGATAGTTTGTCTGTGTAAGAAATCTATATCTGTGTGGGCCTTGCAGTGTGAACAGTTTACCTGCCTCCAAAAGTGGAGTTTCCCTGAGGTAATTACAAGACAAAGTCAAATGATTTCAGAGAAATTTGGTATTATTTTCTGAAGTGTAGAGTTTTACCGCAAAAGCTTCTCTTGAGAGTGATTGCTGTGTAATACATTGCTATAATATAATGTTTATGTTTTTTGATCAATTCAAAATGGCAAATGACACCACTTTTTTTTCTAGAGTAATAGTTTTAGTCTGTGTATAAATACAAAGTTAAATTTCTTCTATACACATGCAATTATTGTAGGATCAAACAGCAATAGGAGGAGATCTCATGCTTCCAAGGTCATCTGAAATCCGATTTGCAGCCATTTTAGGAAGCTCTAATAAGACCCAGTTGTATTCTGCAGTTTTCCAAGAGGACCAAGCCTTCCCTTTGTTTGAAATAACCGATATTCCAACTCCATCTCATTTGTATGTTTGGCTCTCACGTTTAATTTCTCGACTCCTTTAAAAGGATAGTTATCAATATATTTTACATCTAGTAATAATGTGTATTAAAAATACCTTCAAAATAATGTAGCCATATGTAAATTCAAGAAGAAATAGTCCCCACCAGCACACAACCACACACAACAGACTTTATTTTAATACCAGTTTGTTTTCTTCTGCAGGATTCATGTATGTGCTGTAAAATTTAATGAGGTTGTTATTTCTCAATCTGACTCTCCCAACACAATAAAGTTATCAAAGTACGTTATGGACTCCGATGTAAAGAATTTGTCAGAAACCAGAAATCTGGAAGAAACATCTGGTGTCCTAGACAATGTGTGTGGCATCCAGGGGCAGCAACAAGCTGTAGCAGGATACACTAAAGATGGTCTTCTTCATGTTTGGTTTGTACTCTCAGATTTTTCCTGCAAGTATCATTTTGTTTCCTTTAATTTTTTCAAAGTAAAAGTTTCGGCCACCCGAGCAACTCAGTCAAGAGCACCAAGGGTCGCATATACACTGAGAATATGATTCTGTATGTTGTACACGGGCCTCATTTTTTCTTTGAAAGTCGTCAGAGGATATGAAATTTTTCTGGAAATGCTACAGAGTGTAATTGATAAAAAAAAACTATAAATGTATAGATATTTATCAGAAACAATGAGAAATATGCATCTTTTTTATTATTTTACTTTTTAAGAATGCAATTCAGATATTAGTAGAATTTTCAATTTTTACAATTCTTATTTTGTAGGAATCATGAATTAGGAGCTCTTGTTTTAACAGTTAATTTGGCTGTGTACTGGCCCCATCCCTCACACCTTGTTGCTGTGCTTCAAGAAAAAGTAAGCTGTCTAAAATGTTCCCAATGATTTGTCTGATATTTAATAAGTGGATTTTTTAAATAAACACTGTGTTTATCAGTTTTATCATTTCATTTATACAGTAGTCAGATCTCATTATTTCTAACTTGATTGGGCCAAGAAAAAATTTTGAGTTATCTGAGATTTGTGATTTTAAATACATAGAGAAACAAGAGGCCCAAGGGCCTTAACGGTCACCTGAGTATAATACAACAATTTAGAAGTTAAATACACTGATAGTTGAAGCTTTGTTGCCCTAAAGCAAGAGAAGTAGGAAGATCAGGATCAACAAGATAATTAGTCTAGTATTCAGTATCAACTCATAAATTAAGTTCTAATCTGTCCCCCACTTAACACTATGCAGACTATTAACAAACTATTAGTGCTTCTGTATTATTTATAAACCCATATTAAGACCTCTAGCATTGACCTCTCTTATGGTCTTTGAAGAACTTTTAATAAGATAAGTCATTTTTGTCTCATTTTTATTTATCTACCTGTTTATTAAAACTAAGAAAGTACTTTTTTAATTATACGATAAACATTCTTGCATAATTATCTTATTCTATTAACCTTTCAAATACATTATTTACAGTGATTAATTATCAAAGGTGAATGGAAAAGGGGAATAACTTCTCTCAGTAGAATACAAATTAATAGAGCCCTGCCCAGGACCAGAATGCTTAGACCAATGGTCCAGATGTTTAAAAATCTGGTAGAAATATGCTTACTCATATCATTTAAACTTTTACTCAGTTTGCTTCCAATATGCCCAGAAGCAGAGAAGAATTTCACAGGTACAATGCATTTTCACTACAGATTCAACAAAGCCTTACCCTAACACCAGAACCCAAGACCAAGGGTCAAGAAATTTACAAATTTGGAAGAGTTACCCTCATCATCATAACTATGGACTTCAAAGAATTAACACTTTTCCACTATATTATCAAAAGCCCCCCCCCCCCCCCTCGTTATGCCAGAACCCAGAAGATTTAAAAATTCTGTTCGAAGCTCCCATTTTCATCATAGCTAAGCAATTTATTTATCAGCTCAACACTAAGGAGCAGACAGGATTAATTAATGATTAATAGAATTAATGCTTTTTCACTATATAATCAATAGAGCCCCCCCCCCCCCCTCCTCAAGAACCCCAAAAACTGAGGCCATATATTTAAAAATTTTGGAAGAGGCATCCTTGTCTATCATAATCATGACTTAGTTTGTTTATATAATCTCCAGTAGCAGAGAAGATTTTCAAAGAATCAATGCATTTTCACTATATAATCTATAGAGCCCCGCCCTAACACCAGAACCCCTGACCCTGGGGCCATGAAATTCACAATTTTTGAAAAGGCATCCTTATGCATCATAACCATGCACTTGGTTTGTTTAAATAATCTCCAGTAGCAGAGAAGAAGATTTTCAAAGAATCAATGCATTTTCACTATATAATTAAAGAGCCCTGCCCTAACACCAGAACCCCTGACCCTGGGGCCAAGAAATTCAAAGTTTTTGAAAAGGCATCCTTATGCATCATAACCATGTACTTAGTTTATTTAAATAATACCCAGGAGCAGAAAAGAAGATTTTCAAAGAATTAAAGCATTTTCACTATAGAATCAATAGAGCCCTGCCCTAACACCAGAACCCCTGTCCCAGGGGCCATGGCTTTCACAATTCTGGAAGAGGCCCACCTCTTCATCATAACTATGTACTTAGTTTATCACCTTAATGCCCAGGAGCAGAGGAGAAGATTTTCAAAGAATTAATGCATTTTCACCATATAGTCGATAGAGCCCCGCCCTAACACCAGAACCCCTGACCCTGGGGCCATGAAATTCACAATTTTGGAAGAGGTACTCTTGCTCATCATAACTATGTACTTAGTTACTTTATTTAATGTCCAGAAGCAGAGAAGAAGATTTTCAAAGAATTAATGCATTTTCACTATATAATCTATAGAGTGCCACCCTAACACCAGAACCCCTGACCCTGGGGCCATGAAATTCACAATTTTGGAAGAGGTACTCTTGCTCATCATAACTATGTACTTAGTTACTTTATTTAATATCCAGAAGCAGAGAAGAAGATTTTCAAAGAATTAATGCATTTTCACTATATAATCTATAGAGTCCCACCCTAACACCAGAACCCCTGACCCTGGGGCCATGAAATTCACAATTTTTGAAAATGCACTTTTGCTCATCATAACTATGTACTTAGTTACTTTATTTAATACCCAGGAGCAAAGAAGAAGATTTTCAAAGAATTAATGCTTTTTCACTATATAATCTATAGAGCCCCGCCCTAACACCAGAACTCCTGACCCTGGGGCCATGAATTTCACAATTTTGGAAGAGGCACTCTTGCTCATCATAACTATGTACTTAGTAACTTTATTTAATACCCAGGAGCAGAGAAGAAGATTTTCAAAGAAATAATGCACTTTCACTATATGATCTATATAGCCCCACCCTGGGGCCAGAACCCCTGACCCTGGGGCCATGAATTTCACAATTTTGGTAGAGGGCTCCATGCTTATTACAATGATGCCAACAGTTTGACTGCTTGATGTCCAGGAGTAAAGAAGAAGATTTTTAAAGATTGCATTATTTTTGGTGGTTTTAGCCCCACCCCTCAGGCCCCAGGGGGGCAGGGACCATGAAATTCACAATTTTTGTTCCCCTTCACCCATAGATGCTATATATCAAATTTGGTTGAAATTGGTTGAGCGGTTCCAGAGAAGAAGCTAAAAATGTTCAAAAGTTTACGAACGACGTACGACGACAGACAAAAACGGATAGCAATAGGTCACCTGAGTTTACTCAGGTGACCTAAAAAGTGGTTGGGACTTCCAGATCACATTGACTTTTCCATGGTATTCAAGATATTGATGTTAGAGATACACTGAAGGTCAACTGATTTTGTCTTAATAATGCCTCAGAGTAAAATAATCTTTCTGGGACAGAGCTGAATGCATTCAATCAATAGTCTGAGGTTCTGTAGATAATATACTTCATCAATGCTTTTATCAGTACATTAGCTAATTAACTACCAGAGTAGTAATTAATTCTGTAATATTTTATACAGGGCTATCTATTTTGTCCGCTGATGGCTAATTCTGACTGTTTCCTAGCCGGCTGTATAATGTTGGTGAACCCCACAAACTGTCAAACCAAAGTCTTGTTTCCATTGAACAGCAAAAAGTGGAAAGGGTAAATTTCTCTTAATTTTGGTTATATGCCCCGGTACATATACATTTGGAGGTATACTGTACATCTACAAGAATGCCAACAAAACATACCGGGTACTTTATATCTCTCCCAGTTCCACAAAATAATTTAAATGCCTAAAATTAAAAGCAGGTTTTAGAAACAGGTTGTTGAAATTATTTTCTTTTTCACAAGAACTGCAAACAAAATATTTCAATACATTAAAAGCAGCTAGTAAATACAGAGTATTAAATTATTACTTAGAGGTGATGAAATGAGTAGCATGGCAATTACTGAATGAATTCTCCATTAACAACTCAGTATTGTAGCTTTAATCATTTACACATTTTAAAAGAAAACCTTTTTTTCACTCCATGCAGATTTCAGTTTTCTTTTTATTTCACTAAAATGTTACAGTCAAAGCAATTTTTAACAACAATGTTCACAATTATGCCCTTCAAAAAAAAAAAAAAAATTAAAATACAGCTTTATAAAGTATGCATCTCTTAGCATGTCATGGTTTCACTAGCATTTATTGTGTATTTTTTTCTTCAGATGCAGTAGAGCCTTTTATATGGATGATTACATTGCAGCAGTGAATAAATCTGGTTCTCTACATATATGGGACAAGTTTAGTGGAGAAATGGTGTCATGCATGGAGAATACTGATGTTTTAGGAATGTGTAATCATAAAAGTAACATATTCTTAAGCAGAGAACATTGTATACATTGTTTTACATTAAAATGTTAGATTTATATTTTGAGTTTTAGTTACTTTGTAAAAGAACAAAACTAAAAGTATCTGATAGTGGCCATTTCCATCTTAAAAAAATGTGGCATTCCCATTATCATAAGATTGTACATTTATATTAAAAAGTTGATTTTTTTTTTTTTTTAGATTTTTAGCTCACCTCAATGAAGTTGGGGGAGCTTATGAAATACCCTTGGCATCTGCGTCCCAGGTTAAAGTTTTTAGAGCAGTTTTCTTTTCAAGTACTTCTATGCCCTATATTAATCAGAGATGCTTGGAGGATGCTTCTAGTATGTTTCATTGTACCAGTCAAGGTTTCAGATGCTGCAATTTCAGCTAAAGAATGACCAGGTTAATTTTTTTTGGAGCAGGTTAAAGTTTTTTGAGCAGGTCTCATTTCCAAGTAACTATAGGCCCTATATTGACCAAACTTGCATGGATGATACATCTAAGGATGCACACTACTGAACTTGCTTCAAATGCTGGATCTAACCTATATTTTTGGGATGAATGACCAGGTTAAAGTTTTTGGAGCAGATCTCATTCCCAAGTAACTACATGTGTAAGTCTTATATTGACTAAACTTGCATGGATGATACACCTAAGGTTGCACATCACTGGACTTGCTTCGAATGCTGGATCTGACCTATATTTTCCGGATGAGGGAACAGGTTAAAGTTTTTGGAGCAGATCTCATTTCCAAGTAACTATAAGGCCTATCTGAACCAAACTTGCATGGATGATGCATCAAGGGATGAACACTCTCAAACTTGCTTCAGATGCTGAATTTGACTTACATTTTCTGGATGAGTGACTAGTTTAAAGTTTTTAGATAAGTCCATTCCCAAGTAACTGCAAGCCCTATCAGACCAAAATTGCATAAATGTTGCATCTAGGGATGCACACTACTAGTTTAGTGGATGACTTTGCCTTACTTAAAGACAACATTCGTTGAGGTGAGCTCTGTAATCTCTGATTACCTAATTTTTTTGGGTGAAGGTTGAGTTCAAGATTGTAGCTCTATGTAGAGCTATGATCTTGAATGACATGCTGGCCTAGCCACTAAATAGGGAAAGGTTAGCATAGATATTTAATGCTAGGTACCAGGTGGCCACCTTAGTTATCATGTTTTAGAGATTTTGCCCACCTCCTCATACTCTAGCTCACCTAGACGAAGTCAAAATTAGCTTATGCCATACCCCTGGCATTGGCATCCCGGTTAGGAGCAAGTCCATTCCTAAGTAACCATAAGACCTACCTGGACCAAACTTTCATGGATAATGCATCTAGGGATGTACAGTCTCCAACCTGCTTGAGATGCTTGAACTGACCTATATCTTCCAGATGAGTGAATTTTAGCCATACTTTAACCAAATTAGCATGGATGATGTATCTAGGGATGAACACTTCCAGACCAGCTTCGGATGATGAATCTGACCTACATTTTCCAGATAAGTGACCAAGGTGATTTTTTTTTTAGTAGTGCTATAAATATATGGCCTGTTATGATTAAACTTACATGAATGATGCATCTAAGGATGGACAGTAGATGTTGGAACTGCCATTTTCTTGATTAGTGAACAGAAAGTTTTTGGAGCAGGTCCATTTCCGAGTACATGTAACTATAAGTCCTACTTAAACCAAACTTGCATGAAAATGGATCTTGGAATGCACACTAACTACATGTAGAAAAAAAATATAATGTGAGATTTTCCTTACTTATAGAGAATTTTCTCCTTTTTGGGGGTAGTCAAAGACAATAACAATAACAAGTCTTCCCCAGTTTATTTGCCATGGGTCTGGATATAAACATAAAGGACTCACTGTTGGGTGTCCATTTTCAACAAACAAAACATGAACAAAAACAGAAATTTACATTAACATAATATCTTCATACACACATATTAAGTACATTGTTTAGTAAACATTAACAATTTAACCCCTTAACAAGAATCATTTAGTTTTACACAAAACAGTAAGTGTGAACATATCAGTACAATTGGAACCATTTTACAAGTCCTGCAGGAATGAATGAAGGAATATATTTCTGGTATGTAATAGGATCAATAAACTTTCAATATATGAAGTCAAGTCTCACACAGGTGTCTATTTAGTTTCTATATGTATGACAACAGCTGGATGGATCATAAAAAATGCAATTATACATGAAATACATAAACACGCTAAACAATACAGATACAAAAATAAACTGATCTAGGGTTTGGGGGGGGGGGGGTGTCAAGTGCATGTAATTGAGGATCAACAGTGAAGCATACTATATTTGGGGGTAAAAGTTGTCTTCCCATACAAAACATGATTTTTGCATAATCATACATGTGAAAATTTTTTCCAAAATTTTGAAATCTATTTTTCTTCAGACTTTTTTTTGGGGTGTTTGTATTCAAGAAAAATGTAGTTCCCCTATACAATTAAAGCAAACCTTGATCAAACTACAATAATTTCTATTACAACAGGTACATGTACTAGCCAAACTTGAATAAATCCTTGTCAATTTTCAAGCTTTTCTGACCCACATCTTTACATATCTAGCATAAATTACAGACTACAAAGTCTAATGTTCTGGAAACATACAGTCCTGAGATCAGTCATCCAATCCAATGTTTCTGAACAGGTAGGACATGGACTCGTTATTCTGGATACGCCTGATTGCCTCTGTCAACATAATACTAATGTCGACGGTTTTAATTTTGTGGCACTGCATTTTCTGCATCTCATGTGGAACAGTGTTAGTGACAACAACCTATAAAGAAATTCATACAATGAACATAAGGAAAGCAAGCAAATTGATAATCTTTTTATTAACTATACAACTTCTGAATTGTATCAACAGATCTGCTGGAACCAGTGAAAAGGACATTTAGATATTAAAGAACATAATTTGAAATTTTATTTCAATTTGAATTTTGTTCACAAGTTTCTATAGCCATGTCTGATATACATGTATGCCCCAATTTTTTTTCCTGGAACAAATCTAGGTACCTCATCAATACAAGAGTCCTCTATGAGTTTGGGGGCATCTGATGACAAAAGACCATGGGTGGCCATGACATAAATTTTATAAGCTCCTCTCTCTTTCAGAACTTCTGCAACTTTGACAAAAGCATCCACATCATCTATCATGTCATCCTAAAAATGATAAAAATCTTTCATTTTTCTGAGTAACTTGAACAAGATTCCTCTGTGAAAGAGCTACATGTAGCTATGAAAATGCAAGGGCATAAAACAAAAAATAACTCCTGCATTCAGCAAAATTTGTACATAAAATCCCCAAATAACATTTTTTTTAATCCTAACATGGTCACTGAGAATAAACCAACTAGCAGAATTAAGTCAAGTGATTAAACTTTCAGAAATACATGTATAAAATTAAACATTTGAAGTCTTTTGAAATTAGCCACTGGTCTGAAGACATGAAAAATAATATTTTTCTGAAATTCTTTTTGGTCAGTGAAGAGAACTGTTTGTGATTGTAAAAACTGTAAAAAAAAAAATAATTAAGAGTACTATTCCAATTGGACTGCTGTCTAAGAAACACTGGTGTCTGGGTGTCTTCATGTTATGTCCTCTTATTCCATTGATAACTCTAAATAGATAAATCTGACAAGGCCATGGTATGCATACTAATGGATTTTGAAATTAATCCAGTATAATTACCAGTACTTACCACCTAGTCCAGTATAATTACCAGTACTTACTACTTAGTCTGGTAAAATTACTAGTACTTAATACTTGGTCAAGTATAATTAACAGTACTTACTACTAAGTCCAGTATTATTACCAGTACTTACCACTTAGTCCAATATAATTACCAGTACTTACTACTTAATCAGGTATAATTACCAGTACTTACTACTTAGTCTGGTAAAATTACTAGTACTTAATACTTGGTCAAGTATAATTAACAGTACTTACTACTTAGTCCAGTATAATTACCAGTACCTACTACTTAGTCAGGTATAATTACCAGTATTTACTACTTAGTCGGGTATAATTACCAGTATTTACTACTTAGTCCAGTATAATTACCAGTACTTACCACTTAGTCCAGTATAATTACCAGTACTTACCACTAAGTCCAATATAATTACCAGTACTTACCACCTAGTCCAGTATAATTACCAGTACTTACCACTATAATAGCAATCCTTCCTCCCACATCTCCTACAACATTCAATGGTGGCTTCTCCTTGGGCATTAAAGCTAAACATAAGAAATGTACTGTAGCATAACAACTCCAAGTGTTATTAGTTCAGATGAAAAGTTTATATGTGTTATAATGCTCAAGATCTTTCTTTTTTTAACCGATGAAGATTTTTCTCATGATAAAATCGATAACCATGATTTTCTTCTACAATGCCTGAATAAATGTTCCAATATTTAAACATACTAATACTTGTGATTAAAGATTAATATTACCTTAGAGTTTCATTGAGTAAGCTTGGGAGATAATATTTACTGTATAGATTGAAAACAGTGACAGGTTAAGAGCCAATATGCAGCTAATGTATTTTAATATACATGTACATAATGCAAATAATGCAATGTTAGCTTTACAGTGAGCACCTCATTCTTATAAAAAAAAACTGCAGTACATGATATTAAGCATTATACATGTAATAAATACAATAAACAAAAGTTTTACAAGCTTTTTTGGCCAAATGCCCTGTTTAAGTATAGCCTACATCTTATCTTACTGGCCTTCTCTTCTGAGTCTAATTTTTCCTTGCTCACATTTCAAAGTGCATTGGAAGATACAAAAAATTTACATGTACAAGCAAATGCCTGTTTTTCAGTGTAGCTTCAACTTAGCTTACTGGCCTTTTGTTCTGAGTCCCAGTATGTTGGTGTGGGCTGCTACATGAATTGATATCAAATTTATATTTAACAATTGTTCAGTTTAGTAAGAACTATATAGTTAACTTGGCAACAAAGAATTGATACGACATACTTGGCAGGATTTCAATCTTTTTATATTCTACTCTGGACGGTGGCGGTGGAGAATTTCTTCCATCTTCCTTGTCTTCATCATCGTATTTTTCCTCGCCATGAATGACAGCTATTCCTATCCGCAGTCGCTCAGCATAGGAAGTGGCTCGCTTTACAGAGTTCGGATTGCGTGCAACTATTATGGCATTTCTGTAATCTGGAATCTGAAGCAGATAGATTTTGAGGAAACTTTAATTCGAATTTCAAAGCATAATTTAAGATACTAAACTACATGTGTGTTTGTGTGCAACGTACATTTTTCAACATTTTGATGAAAACTTTGATAGATAATATTTTATGATGGAAAATTTGTGGACAGTGGCACCTTCTTACCAATCTTTCTATGTAGTCAATGAGAAATGGAGAAGCCCGTAAATTTTCCACTGGAATGTCAAAAAATCCCTGAATTTCTTTCTGATGCAGATCCATGGTGATAACGTGCGTTAAACCTGTATCAAAATGAACTTCAGATATTGATATACATGTGTACTATAAAAATGTAAGTTTAATCGATTACCTTTATATGATGTAAGTGATAATGTATATACTGATCATAATAGTTACACATAGTCAGAAACGAAATGTACCATATGACATGCAGGACATTACTAATAGGTGAGGATGAAAACTGGTCTTGCGGGGAAATTCTAATCTAAAGTAACAACACACCCCCCCCTCCCTCCCCCTCCTGGAAAGTTGACTCTAGAGAGCAATTTCTGTCAGACTGGTATTCTACACTACACAAATTACCTGACTTTCCTAACATAGTCGCCATTACTTTACAGATCACGGAGCCTCTTTTCCGCATTTTGCTTTGTTTGGAGTAAGGGAGGTAAGGAATCACACCAATAATGTTGTGGGCGGCACTTGTTTTACATGCGTAGGATATGATGAGCAGCTCCATAATATCATTGTTGACGTCCCTGTTAACACAAAATTTATATCATGATTATGATTTGTATTTAATTTTATATTTCAATCAAAAAGAAGGTTTTGAAATTGTCATAATTTGTAGGACCATTATGCAGTTGAAGAATTCAAGTTACATTATTTGAAATTCTACTTAACAAAAAATATTATTATACAAATACAAATGTTTTCATAAAACTTATCACATCAATCAAACAGAACCAATTTTACATAAAGATGTCAGAGACAAGAATTAATCTAGTCAGCAGACTGAACTCAATGTATCCAGTGTTCTTTCTCAGTTCTATTCTAGAACAGCCCCCAAGACCATAAACTGAGAACAGACTTAAGTCAAAATTTCAAATCAATATAACGTTTGAAATAATTTTGATAATGAAACAAAATGTTCAACATATGCTTGAACTTGAATTTAATACAAACCTGCAAATTTTTAAGCACATATGTTAAATAAAACTTAGATATTCAAAATCTCAATTTTGACTTAAGTCTCCTCACAGTTTATGGTCTTGAGGCTAGGTGGAACTATCTTAGGAACATGAATTAAGGACATTAATATGTATTTGACTAACATCATATACATGTATGGATAGAAATACAATTACCACATGCAAGATGCAAGTCCCACTATTTTTGTATTTTTAAAATACAGATGACTATTAAATGATAATATTTACAGCTCTGACACTTGCTCACTGAATGCAATCATCATGGCTTTTAAAAGAAATATTTATCAATTATACAGAATTGAACCACTAAATTAATGAAAATATTATGTCCTAATTTAAAGTATATAAATATTAATGTTAATGTGAAAATCTATTCCCAAAGAAAATTTGACATTTCTTACAGCAATACAGTCAAACTTCATTATCTCGAACTCGATGGGGCCGAGAAAAAAACATTGGGATATCCAAGGATTCAAGATATTGAGGGTCAAATACTTAAATAATAAGTGGTTGCAGGGACTTCCAAAATATTTTGACAAATCCGTGGTATTCAAGACATCAGTGTTCTCGATACCGAAGTTCAACTGTATATGCTTGCTTCTGAAAAGCAAAGCATTACGATCTAACAGACATTTCACTTACTTGGTGCCAGTCTGTATGATGTAAACATCTTTTCCTCTGACTGACTCTTTGATTTCTACATTTGTTTCTGTAATTGATAGAACAAGACAAAAAAAATTTAATCCCAATGTAAAATTCAAATAAATTAATTTGAGCAATATTACTTATTTAGCTAAAGTTAATTTGATAATTCGATCATGCATTCAATTTTTAATAAAACTCATGGATAACAGAGAATTCTTTTATACAGTGTATCTGATGTAAAAATATTAAGATATATGTGGGGGCAAGCCTGTCAGGATTATATAAAATGTATTAAAATATTATACCCACCTCTGTTAGTTTTGTGATAAACATTGATGTCACCTAATCTCACTCCAAGTCTCCTGAAATGGTAAGATTTTTTATTTAAACAAAATGTTACAAATAAACAATTCCAAAATTTATTCCACATGTAGATCAAAACAATTATTTCAAGATTTACACAAATAATATTAAACATAGCATTCTGTGAAAAAATAGGTTAGACAACTCTGCTGCTTACTTGATGTTATTTGTTATTTATGTTAATAAATGCTTCTATGTAGATAGAATTTCACCCGAACCTACTCAAAGCATACAAAATCAAATGAATATTTTAGTTTATTTCTGTGACTCTGGGTAAACGACGAATGACCAGTGATGCAAGCTACACAATCATGACCAGATGACAATGGAGATATATATAAACAATATATCTTTCTGTTTCCATTTTTAGCGTAAATTTAGGAAGTTCCTTACTGTGCAATAAGTTGTGACAATTCTGGATGAGAATTCCCGCATAACAGTACCATGGGACATTTCTGTCCTGGGTCCAGTGCCATAATGCTGATAGTCTTTTACGTTCTAGTTTTGGTTTTGTCTCAGCATGGTTCACCGACCTTGACCTTGGATAATGACTTATGGCGGCAAGCATGTGCTTCAGACCTTGAGCCGTGTGAGTGTGCCAGCATGCAGAGTTTATTGATATCTTGCAGATGACTTTGTTTAAATTTTGTTCAAAAACTCGTCAACTTTTTACATTTCATTATTTAAAATCTTTCCCATCTTTTAACATGGAATCGCCGTATTTTAATCAACGTACCACCAGATCGTGTTTTACTGTGAAAGTGAAAGTAGAAAACGATGCCCAGCAGCTTCAAGAGTCGTCGAACACAGCGATAAATAGTGCTCCACCAAGGAAAAGAAAAATAAAAGAAAAGGTGGAGATAAAGTATGAAGAGACTGAGACAGTCGACAGTGTTAAGAAAGAACTTTGTAACTGGGAACCCCCAATGTGGAGGGAGCAGCTGAAAAATATTTACGAGATGAGGAAAAACAGGGATGCCCCTGTAGATTCCATGGGTTGTGATGTTATAAGCGACGCTCTTGCATCTCCCGAGGTAATGTCTTGTCTTGGTTTGCAAAACATTAACCATTTTGTATTCAATCTAAGTAAAGTCATTGAAAAATATATTTGTTTGCTTAATCATGATTCTCACCTATATCCGAGGACTGCTAGGTTTACTAAGTAACTGTGCTCAAGTAAAATGGGTCTAAATCCAAGCTGAGTAATGTAATTCTCAGGCCCACCAGTGTAACTGTTTCACACTGAAAATAAACTGCAGTGGCAGGGTACGTTATGGCTAACAGCTGAAAACTTAAGGCCATGTGGGCCCCAAACTTTTTAAAGTGTTGTCACTGGGACCCTGTCCCAATTGAAAACTGACAAATTTTCCCCCAAAATTATGGTAAAAATTCTCAAATGACAAGCAGATTGAATTCTCAGTGCTTTTTTTTCAAACAAAGTTGAATTCTAAGATTATACATGTATAAACATGTGCATAGAAGATAAGCCTACAATATAACTGTCTTTATTTTACAGTGAAACATAATAGATCTATTTCATCAATATTTCTTACTATTGTTACTTATGTTTCAATTTAAAATTTCCAATTGAAAGGGGTAAGGGGTCCTGTACCAAAAAATGGTCAATTAAGCCTTGCCTCCCTACCCCTTTTCACCTACACAATTACAGGCAAAATGGTTTGTACTTTTAAATTAAGACTAATTTGAGGCAAAGAAACATAATCTCAAATGCATTTTTCAATTTTCACCTGGGAATGGCAATAACCATTGATGTAATGTAATTCAGCATGCCCAGTATAAGTAGAATATCATTTATAGAGAAGTCGAGGATCATCATACACAAATGGATGTCATTTATCATGGATAATTTTGGGCTGTCATATAAGTTGTTCAATAAGATTCCCACTCAAAATTTAAACCTACCCTAGACCAGTTTAGACTTAACTTCTAGCTGAGCTAACTTCTGAGAAAAAGGTGTACGTGAAATAGATTTTAAAAATGTACGTAAGCTGTTCTTAAGGTTATAATCCAGGTTTAAACACCGGTGTGAATAGGGGAATAAGACTCACTCATGTCAAGTTAAACAGGCAGAATGATCGAGGAAGACTACTGCACAGCATCCAAGTTCAATTTTTTTTTTTTCAAAATGAAACTGATATTCATTGGGTGCATGCAGGTATTCATAAACACAATGTATTCAATAAATTAAAAAGGAAGATGTATGAGCAAGAGTCAACATTACACTTCATATTATACAAGTACCGGTAGATTGACTACCACTGCATGTCTTCTTATGTAAAGTTTAAAAATTATTTTGCTCAAATCTGAAATAGGTGTACAGATACCAGGTCCTAGTTTCACTCATGCTTTCAAGTCAAACAAAGGACCAGATAACATCAGCTGCAATGAAGAAGTTGAGGGAGCATGGATGCAGCATTGAGAGTATACTTCAGACTTCAGATGAAGTTTTAGGAGAACTGATTTATCCTGTGGGCTTCTGGAGGGTACTTGTACTAATTAAAGAAAAATTATATAAAATCATTCCAAAGCAATAAAGTTGAAAGATGAATGTTAACTTGTGTATGATGTGCATGAATTGAGATGCATCCCCTACATGTACTTTGTTCAAGTAGATGTTCATTGCTTAAGATAATATTTTATGACAACTGCATTTCAAGAGAAAGTAGGCCTTACATTATTTTCTACAAGTTATCAAGTTTAGTTTTAGCAAGCTAATACCTAAGCATATTGTAATTTTAGGTATATATGAGTAAAACTTATACAATATGCCAAATCATTGTAGAGAAAAGTGGAGTATATAAAGAAAACAAGCAGAATTCTCCAGGAAGAATACAATGGAGATATTCCAGAGTCTGTGGAGAAATTATGTAAGCTGCCAGGGGTTGGACCAAAAATGGCATACCTAGTGATGAAGTGTGCTTGGAATCAGGTGACTGGCATAGGAGTGGACACACATGTTCACAGGATTTCCAATCGGCTTGGCTGGGTTAAAAAACCAACTAAACAGCCAGAGGACACAAGAAAAGCATTGGAGGACTGGTTACCAAGGTAAACAAGTGTTTATGGTTTAAAATGTTTCATCTAACTGACTAATGAATTATACTGCAATGAAGCCATTGCCAGGTCTTCGTTTTTAAAAGTAGATATGATTTTACACACTATCCATACACTAAAAAAAGAAAATTTTTGCTGGCTTATTGATTTTCATATTATTATTTTTTTGGCCTCATTGATACCTTTTTGTTTGTTTTGCTTTGTTTATCCATTCATTGTTTGTCTTGCTTGGATGAGAGACATGTACAAATAATGTCCAATTGACTTTTGATATAATATTTTTACAATACTGTAAGTTGAAAATGTTATAAAGTTCAAGATCACATTAAAGGTCACTTTCACAGCAAGCAGTATACATGTTCCTCAAACACTCTGTAATGTTTTTCATCCATCCACAGATTGGTTAATTACATTTCATAGTCATGTTGCAATAAAAGAAAACGTTTTACCTGTTACAGAGAACACTGGAGTGAAATCAACCATTTACTGGTTGGGTTTGGACAACAGACTTGTTTACCAGTAGGACCAAAGTGTTATGAATGCTTAAATAAATCCATCTGTCCTTTTGGCAAAGCAAATAAAAAGACACCATCACCAAAGAAAATTAAGAAAGAAGAGGTAAAAGAAGAAACTGAATAAATGAACATTGTATAGCTGCAACTTTATGGAAAAAACTCTTACCTCATATTAAGTTCTAAATGTGCATGAAAGAACAAAAATGTGTTATGCAGAATATTAAGAGAGATATGTGTACCAGTATATACATTTGGTTTTTGTTTTTTATTTTACCAGTAGAGTTTGACATATATTTTAACATTTACATGTGTTCAATATTTGTTTGTGATTTAAGGGTTTTCACCTGTCTTTTGTTCCAAGGGTCAGATTAAACTGAACTGGTGCATTGGTGAAGCATTACTTTCTCTTTTCATCTGACAGTCAGCATGATGTATATAAATATTTATCAATTTTTTTTTTGGTCATATTTGAATCAAACATAGTAGTTTTAGACTGTAAGAAGAAAGAACAAATCTGATTTAATATAGATTTCAAATTTTGATTAGCAATGAAGTTCTTTCTCTTAGAATGAAACTTGTGTGAAAAATTATGTGTCATGATGCTACAATCAAGAGGAAAACTTTTATCTGCCCCAGCTTTTTCATGCTGGCTATTTCACAGAATTGATGTTTCAACTAGTCTACTGAACTTTAGGCTCTATTTTTTGTAATTCATGCAACCATTACAGCATTCACTCAATAACGTACCATATTTTTTTCATTTAAGGACATTGGCAAGTCAAGGTTTTCCGGAGAAAGAAGGTTTAATACATGGGTTTTTTCACTTATAAAATAGTGACTGAGAGTGATCTCCCGTGTAGAATTCTCTAAGCAGTGGAAACCAATAAAGCGTATGTTACAGAGATAAACAAAAGCACGTGTACTTCCTTCAACGGGTAGAATCATCTATACAGCAAGAAAGAAAAGTAGAAATGGCTTTGTTGTACATTGTATTCAGGGACAAAGAGCCAATAGGTCGTCATTTACGATAGTTGAGCTCAGTATGCTGGGAAGGGCAAAGATGTGACATATGCTGAAAGGTAGGCCGACTGAGAACAGTTCTTAGCTAGGTCGTGTGAAGGAAGCAGCATTTAGTAACTACGAATACAAAAAAAAATTAAAACAATGCCAATATTTTTGTTACAATGTGTTTCAATCAATAAAGTCAACTACATGATAAAAACAATCAACCAGTCTCTTGATTAATTTTAGCTGTTAAGGGAAGCAACTCAGAAATAATGATCGGTACCGGTATATCCATGTTTTGTTCTGATATATAATTTTTAGCCAAAATTTCTAGAAGTCATAGGAAATGAAGAAACAATAATGTATATAATACAAAAACTGTATGAAATAAGTGGGTTTGGGAAAAATATTATGGTGAAAAATTATGTAGGTCCCTTTTATCAACATTTTACATAGGAAATGCATTGAGAAGTGTAAAAACATTGATTTCACAAAATCTAAAAAAGAAGGTTGGATTGGTAGGTTAAACGGTCCAGAATATAGCCTATTTAGTACATTTAAACCTACTCAAGAGTTATTGAAAAATTCTATACAATAACCAGGAACCTTGCCAATGTCCTTAAGCTTAACAATTTTACCATCATGTGGTGTGGTGTTGGTGTTTTTCAACTGAACTGATCTTACATGTACATGTATATCTTATAGAATTTTGTTCCATTTCAGTAAACTACTAAATGATAGATATGGAAGACAGAAGAAAGTAAAATATTCTATACTTGCATCAGTTTTATGCTTTGATAAATAGAATGTAAAATGGTTGTAAATAATTTTTAATTTTGAAACTCTACTCTTTCGTATAGTGCCTGTATTTCTTGTCTGATTTGAGTTTTAAGATTTTGTTTTCATAGTGCATCCAGGTCATCCCTCTCCCAAAAATGAATAAAATGAAAGATCTCAATTCTTTTAAGATTAATTCATGTCCTAGCTGGTCAATAAAGCTATTATCCATTTAGAGATAACAGGCGTTGTTTTAATTAGGTGACTATACCTCATTTACGTGAACCACCAGAATTAATGTGTTCAGACTTATATTCAGTATACATGTACTTCATTTATTACACTGTTCAAATATTCTGTTCAAAAATTCTGTCACGTATTACATTGTTCTAGAATTAAACATTATACAATATTGCAGTGTAATTTATTTGGTTTTTTTTTAAACAATTGTATAAAGTAGGAGATGTAAGCACGTAAATTATTATATTATTGATCTGTATGTTATGGTATGTCTCATTGAAGTGGTTTTCATAGGAAACTAGTATTAATTGTAACGGGGACCGTTACAGATGTTCCCCAAACGCTCCCCAACTTCCTTTTGGTGTCTTATTCCCTGTAAGCTTCATTAAATAAGGCAATCAAGTATATTTTTTTTTTTTACGCATTACACGCGCGCGCACTGGCATGCATGTACAAAATGACCATGTCAACTTGTCTACACTTTCAATACATTTTTATATTCAAATTTCATCAAAAGATAAAAAAAATTCGGCTATATTAAGTATATCTGTCATTTAACGCTTTGCAAGCGCGCGCACGTGCATGCATATCCAAGTTGACCGTGTAATCTTATCTATACTATTAGTATATATCTACATATTTTGAGTTCAAAGCATTTCATAAGTATAAAAGTTACAGCTATATCAAGTATATTGGTCATTTTAGCATTGCATGCGTGCGCACGTGCATGCATGTGCATGTTGACAATGTCGTCTTTTCTACATTAATAATATGTCTATATATTCTGAGTATCAAAGCATTACATCAAAAAATGTAAAAGTTATGGTTATAGCAAGTATATTGGTAATTTTACTCATTCCACGCGTACGCACGTGCATGCATGTGTGCGCTGACCATGTCATCTTGTCTACACTTCTAATATATCTTTATATTCTGAGTTTCAATGCAATTCATCAAAAAATGTACAAGTTAAGTCTATATCGATTGTATTGGTTATTTCAATCATTGAGCACGCGAGCACGTGCATGCATGTGCATTCTGACCATGTCATCTTGTCTTCACTATTAATATATCCTTATATTCTGAGTATTAAAGTATTTCATCAAAAGATATGGAAATTTTGGCTATATCAAGTATATTGGTCATTCTACTCATTGCACGCGCACGCACGTGCATGCAAGTGCATGCATGTGTGCGCTGATCATGTCATGTTGTGTGCACTTCTAATATATATTTATAATCTGAGAATCAAAGCAATTCATAAAAAAATGTACAAGTTAAGTCTATATCATTTTTATTGGTTATTTCAATCAATGCGCATGCGCACACGTGCAGGCATGTGCATTCTTACCATGTCATCTTGTCTACACTTTTAATATATCCTGATATCCTGAGTATCAAAGCATTTCATCAAAAAATATGAAAGTTATGGCTATATCAAGTATATCTGTCCTTTTACTCATTGCACGCGCGCGCACGTGCACGCACGTGCATGCATGTGTGCACTGATCAAGTCTTCTTGTCTTCTCTTCTAATATATATTAATATTCTGAGTTTCAAAGCAATTCATCAAAAAATGCACAAGTTAAGTCTATATCAATTTTATTGTTTATTTCAATCAATGCGCATGCGCGCACGTGCATGCATGCGCATTCTGACCATGTCATCTTGTCTACACTATTAATATATCCTTATATTCTGAGTATCAAAGCATTTCATCAAAAAATATAAAAGTTACAGCTATATCAATTAAATTGGTCATTTAACGTATTGCACGCGCACGCACGTGCATGCGCGCGCGCGCAAAATGACCCTCGTTCCGCAAATCTACATAACATTCCTATTAACCCTAAAAAGGTTTCACCTCAATCGGATGTGTAGTTTCGGAGATCACTCACGGACAAAAAAGTACCCAGGAAGAAAAATAATAATAATAACTAGACTCTTGTTGCCATGGCAACAAAAAAGTCTTCCGTTCTTCTAAATCTGTAAGAATTTGCTTTTTTCTGTGTAAAAACCATACATATCATATTTACTGTGAAAGAAAAAAATAACTGGAAAAAAGTCCTTTCAGTACTTAAGGTACTTTGATTTTCATTATCAATCTTGCATAATACATTTGGCACCTATGAGAGATATACGTATATCATTAGCAATTTAAAAAAAAAATGTTTGCAATCATTTCTAAGACAAACAAACAGACGAACGAACACCCTACTATCATAAACTTCACTGTGTGTATGTTTTGGCATAATTGTGATGGTGTTATAAAAAAATATAATGAATTAAGTTAGTATCACATTAAACGTAAAGTCACAGAGTTTTGTAAAGTTATAATATCAAGATTTGACAACATACCTATAAGACAGATTATTCAATTACAGTAATTCTTCAGCAATCGATTGATTGATTGATTGATTATACGTATCTTGTTTAACGTCCCTCTCCAGAATTTTTCACTCACATGGAGACGCCACCACTCGCCGGTGGAGACTGTAAATTTTTGTCCTATACTTTGGCATTTATCGCAATTGAGCAGTGAGGAATCTTTTTTATGCCAGCATCTTCTGCGACAAGGGACCTCGATTTATACGATCTCATCCAAAGGACCGGTCTCCACGTCCCACAGTCGAAGTTCATAATACCGAGATATTTTATTTTTTATTTTATTCTATTTTTTTCACAAGTTTGTTGCAGCTGATTTACTTAGAGATCATACTTCAAGAGCATTTCGAACTCAGGCTACTTAATTGCAGTGCATACAGCGTCAAGTGATTTTGATTGACAGGTCAACACACGTGCACTTCCTGTGATACTTTTTAAGCTGAAAAATATACAGGATGTGACCATGACTGACTATGAAATCAGAAAACATCAAATAAAGAATGGGTGTGACCGATAAAGAACTAATTTTTGGTCTGGATCGGGATTAAGAGGGAATCTCTCCTCTCTCTCTCTCTCTCTCTCTCTCAGACATGTAAATTGAACATTTCATAATTATAAAATATGAAATTCTGTATACATGTAAATGGTAATGTTATTCACATGTTCCAGATTTAAATCTAAAACGAATATATAATTCAAATTCAAGACGGGGGGGGGGGGGGCTTCAAAGGAATTAGATAATTTTATGAATTACAAGGAAAAGTACGGACGTCAGTTGCATGTACATGATTATATATCATTGCATAAAATTGTGTTCATTCAGATATACTTATCCCACATATCAACAGACTTGTACAATTTTTTTATCATGTTTTTTTTTTCAAAAGAAACATATAGCGTACCATTATTTCACACACTCTTTAACTCTTTGAGTATTTCACAAGAATCCAAGAATCGCCTTTTCACATCTTTTATAATTCCTTGGGTATATAGAGTATAGATCATGTGTCATAAATAATTTAACCTTTTATCAAATATATATGTAATAACCAAATATAATCTATAGATTGATTTTCTTTCTTTTCAGTGGCAGATATCAATTTATTTATAAAGGCTTTAAAACAGTACTGTTACAATTTTCTATCGCTTAATTCCTTTTTTGAGTGTATGTAATATTTTTTAATATCGAAAGTAAAACTCGGAAATCGGGATAATTTCGCATTCAGATCATAGAGAATAATAAATCGTCTGCATTATAGAAGGCTTATAACTATCGTATTCTGAACTTAATATACGAAATAGATAAAACTGCATGCCTGTCCATCACTATAAATGTATATTCAGTGCTTATAATATATTTACTTGAATTAGCTACCTAGCATATATATATATATTAATTTTTTTTAGATATATTCATGTGTAAATTAACTAACTGTCAATACAGACTTACACTACACTGGCAACTTCAAACTTTACATGCACTGGAAGCGGTAACCAACGTCCTCTTAAATTTTGAAGAGTGAATATAGAACGTCTAAATATTTTGATATGGAGAGTGTATATGTCTCTAACGTCATCGATACTATTTCCGCCTTTATCTCGAAAGTTCTATTCTCACTTACAAGTCAGAGTTATCTTTCTTTGCCCATTGTCTACACACTAGGTAAATAGGGAAAATGAGGGTACCGAAAATCTGCAAAATGTGGAATCTGATTTCAAAACAAATTATATATTTAGTATTTGTAGAATAACCTCTGTTATACATAATAATATCTTGAAAAAATATTAAAAAACAAAAAAGTTGAAAATTGGCCAAACACAAGTTCACTTCCGGTTCGGACAGGAAGTACCGGAAACACACGAAAACAACTTCGAAACAAAGAGAATGTCATGATCTAATACCCCTGTAAATTTCACATCTTTACCTCAAACCGTTTCCGAGAAAAATTCCGGACAAAAGTCCATTTAAAAATTGGAAACTCGGCCGTAACTTCGGAC